AAGCTCAATAACAGCCTTGCCTTTGTGGTATGGTACCTTGTAATACAATTTTAGAGAGATCCATACACTTGAACACAAGTTATTGTCTAGAAACTAAAAAATGCTTATTTTAAACCCCTTTTTAGGCCCCTTATTACTAAACGTTTTGGGCAATTACCACAACACTCAATTCCAGCTTTCCCTTTGTGAAATGGAACCTTGTAGTAAAATTTCAGAAAGATCCATACACTTACACACAAGTTATTGTCATGAAACTAGAAAAATGCTTGTTTTTTGCCCCCTTTTGGCCCCTTATTCCTAAAATTTTGAGGCAATTCACCCCAAAATCAATCCCAGCATTGACCCTTTGTGATATGGAATCTTGTGGTACAATGTCAAAGAGATCCATATGCTAACACACAAGTTATGTCTGGAAGTTACAAAAATGCTTATTTTCGGCCCCTTTTTGGCCCCTAATTCCTTAACTGTTGGTACCATAACCCCCAAAATCAATCCCCACCTTCCTATTGTGGTATTGAACCTTATGGTAAAATTTCATAGAGATCCATTCACTTAAACTAAAGTTAGAGTGCGAAAACCATTGTGTATTCGGACGACGACGCCGGACGACGACGACGACGACGACGACGACGCCAACGTCATACCAATATACGACCTCAAAATTTTTTTGCGGTCGTATAAAAATGCTTGTTTTAGGCCCCTTTTTGGCCCCAAATTCCTAAACGTTAAGGGCAATTACCCTCAAACTCAAACCCAGCTTTCCCTTTGTGATATGGAACCTTGTAGTACAATTTCAGAGAGATCCATACAATAACACACAAGTTATTGTCTGGAAACTAGAAAAATGCTTATTTTTGACCCCTTATTCCTAAACGTTTTGAGCAATTACCCCCAAACTCAATTCCAGCTTTCCCTTTGTGATATGGAACTTGTAGTACAATTTCAGAGAGATCCATACACTTACACACAAGTTATTGTCCTGAAACTAGAAAAATGCTTGTTTTTTGCCCCTAATTCCTAAAATTTTGAGGCAATTACCCCAAAAATCAATCCCAGCATTCCCTTTGTTATATGGAACCTTGTGATACAATGTCAGAGAGATCCATACAATAACACACAAGTTATGTCTGGAAGTTACAAAAATGCTTATTTTTGGCCCCTAATTCCTTAACTGTTGGTACCATAACCCCCAAAATCAATCCCAACCTTCCTCTTGTGGTATTGAACCTTATGGTAAAATTTCATAGAGATCCATTCACTTAAACTAAAGTTAGAGTGCGAAAACCAATGTTTCTTCGGACGACGACGACAACGTCATACCAATATAGGACCACAAAATTTGTTTGCGGTCGTATAAAAAACCAAGTTTCTAAGCCAACAATACTTGTTTGTTTTTCTCTAATTAATTTTTTTTTTCAAATTTATTTCCAAAAGTTGACTTGTTACTCATGAAAATAAGATTTCCGTGAGGTCATTTTAAGTCCAAGGAAATTGTGAGAATTCAGGATTTTGCACCATTTACCCCCAGAGCTTCCCCTACCCCTGCCGTTTGACTTACTCCTCCGGCATTGAGTACACATCATGTTGGCCTAGCTACGCCTCTGATTAAGAAAATAAAAATATGGTTTCTAAATCATTAAATTGCCTAAAATATACCAGACATCCATATTTACAAACATATCCATAGTCCATTGTATTTGCAATCTAACCAAAGCGAGGAAAATTTGTAATGTAATAAAATGCTCCGCAGGGCGCAGCTTGATACGACCGCAGAGGTCGAACCCTGAACAGATGGGGCAAGTATGGACACAACATTCAAGCTTGATACAGCTCTGAATTTGGATTGTGATTAAATATTTGACACAGCATAGGTTTCTGACTGAGAAATAGACATAGAGAATGAATGTGGTCTAAGAACTTAAAAATTTTAAATTGGACATTCACCTATTATGATCCAATATCCAAAATCTAATTACATGGTTAGATTCAGCATATCAAAGAACCCCAAGAATTCATTTTTTGATGAAATCAAACAAAGTTTAATTTTGGACCCTTTTGACCTCAATGTGGACAAAGTTGATAACGGGGCCCAAAAATCTAAATACATGGTTAGATTCAGCATATCAAAGAACCCCATATATTCAATTTTTGTTGAAATCAAACAAAGTTTAATTTTGGACCCCGATTTGGACCAACTTGAAAACTGGGCCCATAATCAAAAATCTAAATACATGTTTAGATTCAGCATATCAAAGAACACTAAAAATTCAATTTTTGTTAAAATCAAACTAAGTTTAATTTTGGACCCTTTGGACCTTAATGTAGACCAATTTGAAAACGGAACCAAAAATTAAGAATCTAAATACACGGTGAGATTCGGCATATCAAAGAACCCCAATAATTCAATTTTTGATGAAATCAAACAAAGTTAAATTTTGGACCCTTTGGACCTCAATGTGGACCAATTTAAAAACGGGGCCCAAAATCCAAAAACTTAATACATGGTTATATTCAGCATATTAAAGAACCCCAAGAATTCAAGAATAAAACCCCATTGAAATTGATCAAGAAATAAGCAATTTATAAGAAGTATCTTCTTTTGCACAATACTGTGCAATTGAATATTTCTTGCTATTGCGCAATACTGTACAATTGACAATTTCTTGCTATTGCGCAATATTGTGCTATTTGATATTTCTTGCTATTGCGCAATACTGTGCAATTGAAGATTTCTTGCTATTGCGCAATACTGTGCAATTGAAGATTTCTTGCTATTGTGCAATACTGTGCAATTGAAAATTTCTTGCTATTGCACAATACTTATTATATAAAAATTTACACATCCTGTTTGGTGTGTATCTCCTACCATTGTCATGAAACTAGAAAAATGCTTGTTTTTGCCCCTTTTTTGGCCCCCAATTCCTAAAATTTTGAGGCAATTACCCCAAAAATCAATTACAGCCTTCCCTTTGTGATATGGAACCTTGTGGTACAATGTCAGAGAGATCCATACACTTACACACAAGTTATTGTCTGAAAGTTACAAAAATGCTTATTTTTGGCCCCTAATTCCTTAACTGTTGGTACCATAACCCCCAAAATCAATCCCAACCTTCCTTTCGTGGTATTGAACCTTATGGTAAAATTTCATGGAGATCCATTCACTTAAACTAAAGTTAGAGTGCGAAAACCAATGTGTCTTCGGACGACGACGCCAACGACGCCGCCAACGTCATACCAATATACGACCAAAAAATTTTCATTTTTTGCGGTCGTATAATAAGCACCTAGTAATATAATAATTTACTTCTAAATCCATCGCTTGTAGATCTAAAACCAAGTGCTGTACCTGACGAATGTTTCTACAATTATACTCACCGTCCTCTATATATATATATAAATAGTTCCTAGCAAATTTTAATCAGACTTACTAAGTAGTTTCAGATATATGTTTCTGGAACAATTTGACATTTTGAAAGTTATGATACATCATATTTATATATCATATGGATTTTTTTGTAATTGTTGTGCAAGTAATTTTGCAGTCTTTATTCAATTTCATTGCTACGAAACACGAGTCATTAATATCGCTGTAGTAATATTTGGTTAAAGCGGACTTGATTTTTCTGAAATTTTGAGCCAACTAGTCTAACAAGAGTTCAACCATGTTTATAGCTTGATTCATATTGAAAATAAATGGAGAATGTGTCCATGGGACACAGATGATGTGCCTGCTTGCATATAACGTTATAAAGGGGCATAACTCGAGAACAATAAGTGACGACACCCAAATTCGAAGTTCACCTGTGTTTTGTGGTAATAAGCATTGTGTATAAGTTTCATAACATTTGGTTGAGGCAAACTAAAGTTAAAAGAACGGAAACCAATTTTGGGACATGCCAATCTAATTAAAATTAAATCTCCGCACTTGCTCCTCGTTGTTTATATGTCGCGCGTGGGCACGCGCGACATATAAACAACGAGGAGCAAGTGCGGAGATTTAATTTTAATTAGATTGGGGACATGCGTACGGACAAGGATAACACTTAACGCGGTAATGCCCCCTAAGTTGACGGCGGGGGCATAAAAAATGATGAATGGATGGCTGAAATGCATATTCAGGATGAGAACATGATAATGTGATAGTAATATAAACCCTGCTTTGTACTTGATCAGCATGCTTGGCTGGATCTTACACATGCTAGTTCACTAGGTAACAGTCCACAGGAAGACATGTCACCCTACATAGACACATTATTCTTACTCCAAGCCGACCAGTCTTCCCTCTTTCTCCTAAATGCTGTCTGCCATGCAAGTCTTTGGTGTGACCCCGTTAGGGATCAAATCCATGACCTTTCATGCTCAATAATATATTACAGCAGAATGTATTGAGTGTGTAGGTAAAGGTAATATTTTTGGTTAGCTTGCTTGTTGGCTGAACCGTGAAGTCATTATTAGGTTAGGTATACTACCCTCCTTTCGGTGTAGTCTAGTCCTACAGACAGATTGGTTATCTGTCTGACTAGTCTACTCTTAAAGGAGGGTAGTTTACCTAACCTAATAATGACTTCACGGTTCAGCTAGCAAGCAAGCTAACCAAAAATATTACCTTTACCTACACACTTGATGCATTCTGCTGTAATGTGTTCAGCTGTAAAGGATGGACATTTACATTGTGAAAGATAAGGCACATCTCATATAACCATCATTTTGGCAGATATATGGTCTTGTGAAGAGAGTTTTTTTTTACTAGAGGTTGATCTGCAGGAAATTACTTTTCTATTCCAGTAAAATGGTCTCATTAAGGTCCCTTTCCATCTATCTGAAATGTCACACTAAAACCAGAATTATTTTTTGTGGAATTGGAGCTTACTTATAAAATGGCTGTTTTGAAAACCAAAAACAAAAACTTTTTCTTTTCTATTGTCATCAGAAAAGTCCACAAAAACATAAGGGTGAGGGAGCAATACTCCTCTGTAAATAACAAAGAACAAAATATATATATTGTAATTCTTTTATTTTTTCATGATTCAAGCAATACAAAACCCCATGAAGCTGGCATCCTTCTGTGATGTAGGATTAGTATTACAAATACAACCTTTAAACTATAAATAATGCAATGTATCCATCCCATCCCAGGAAAGCATCTTGTTTACATATTTCTTGTTTAGTTTGGGGGAAAAAACATTTCTGTATTGTGCACCTAATATGAACACATTTACTTTGTAAAAAAAGAACCTTTTGTTATGTAAAACAGACCAATTTAGATATAAAATGCCTCAAAACGGTTAATCTTATCTTATTACAATATTTTTGTTCAAAACAACCTACCAAAAGTTAACAAGTTATATTTTAGCATGCCACTATAGGGGTCTAGCAATTACATTCATATTATAATAGAACTACAATTATTGTTTGCTAAATGCCCAGCTACATGTAAAAAGTTAAGTTTTTGCTGAATTAATTATAAAGTAGTTTTTAAATAATTTATTTAAAGAAAAACAAAATCACCAATGAAGAAAAAAACAGCAGACTACAACGTGACATACTAGCTGCACAAGTGAGAGGACACAACACTTGGTTTCATATCTGAAAGCTGATAACATATAAATGATAATGATTTAACAATTTGTTTAACAATTATATATATTATCTATTATGGCTTAAAGCAAAGAGCAGAAAAAAAATAATAGATTTAAAAAATTTAAATAGTAATAAAAACATAACAAATTGGTTTAATGATGGATCTAGGATCTTTAAAATGGGGGATCACTACGGTCAATAAAAACAAGTTTAACTTAAAAGTGGACACTAATTTACATCGTCTACATACAAAACAAATAAAAAAGCTTTATATACAAAAACTAAATAATGCACTTTGTCCCCATATTCACTTGAAGATTTGACAAGTCTCTCAATTTTGTTCACATTTATTCCAAGTTTTTGATCTTTATGATGTGGGTGAAATACACACTCTTCCATACAACGTAAGCACAGAGCTACTCTGTAGAGACAACAGTCAACATGAAAATGTAGAAATTATGTTTTGATATTGTTTATCCCACATCAGCGTTACATACAAGGCCACCACATTACTTTGGAAGGAATCTCATCTATCGACTTCACCATTTATAGAGATAAACATTTATAGGAACTTTAATTTGAGCAAAGAAATTTACTTAAATTTATTTAATCTTAATTTCATTCTTGGATAACATATTAAAATTTACTGGCTCAATCTCTCCGGGGTCTGATCCTGTTAATTCTCCTATAACATAAATATGAAAAAACAATTAAGATGTGAGATTCCTAACAAAGCGGTTTAACAAAATGTCCAATTTATTTGCGTTTTAATGTAAATATTCCTTTCTTCTTGTGTTCTTCTTTTTTCTCAGTTTCCATTCTAGCTGGTAGTGTTTGAGACTTAGTTGGCATTCTGGAAGTTCCCTCTGCACCAGTTCCTTGGCTTATCATCTGTATCCATTGTTCCATTTCAACCTGAAAATAACAATTGTTTATTGTATATACTGTAAATTCAGAAATTATAGCGATATTTTTATTTATGCAAAATAAGCAACAGTTCCTTCATACAATTTTTTGCAATCACAATAATTAGATAACCGATAATAAATACACACATTAATTAAATTTTTATAGTACCATTTATCAACCTAATGTTCTAATACACATAAACTTAAATTTTTTTTTATATCAAAGCTGTAAATAATGTGTGTTGAATTAATTTTTAGGCATTATTTTATCAAATTAAATACCTCATCTTTAGCTTGGAAGAGATATTCTCCACCATTTGGAAGGTGGACACGCAAGACAAATGGTCGTTTGGTGTAATCCATAGCCCTATTACATGTAGCGTCATTTAACACTATTGCTGATTCATGATGAACTCTATTTTCAGGATCCTGAAATAAATAAGTATGTTATTATATACCATAAATACAGAAATAATGGTGGTTTTTATTAATGCGCTATTTAACAGGCTGTGTATAACATAAATTAAACAGCTGATCCAGGAGCGCAAGATTTGCCCGTCATATACATATTAAAATTGTTACAAGATTCAAGTGAAATATTATAGACATTCAATCTGAAATTGCCCTTCAAAGAAACTTGCAAGAGAATGACCAAGGCATGTAAAAATTGCCTTAAATTTGACAGTCAAACAAGTCTGAAAAGTTTCAAAATCAAATAAATTAGTTTCATCAATCTCAACAACACGTTTGAAGCATTATAGATTTAGTCTTATAATCTAAGAATGTACTGACCTGTTTAGCGACTTTCTTGTCTTTGTAACAGGACAGCGTATTACCATGTAGCACCACATGTACTTTGTCCCAGGATCTGTAATACATCAAAACATATGTAATCTTTTTTTACAGTTTAAAAAAAATCAATGCAAAGTTGTTAATGTCGGTGTGATTTGGCCTCTTGTGGAGAGTTGTCTCAGTGGCAATCACACCACCTCTCTTTTTTTTATATTAAATGTACAAACACACAAGAATACTGTGGTAATGTCTTTTCCAGATATAAAATATGAAAGATTAAACCTGATGACAAATAATTTCATTTCTTCATTTCTAAAGGTATTTGATTAATGACATCAAGCCCAAATCTTAAGAGTACTTTTCCCATCCCCTTCAATGCATTCTTTATGGTGTAGCCTTAAACAATTAGAAATGCTTATAACAAGAATGTGTCCATAATACACGGATGCCTCACTCGCACTATCATTTTCTATGTTCAGTGGATCCTGAAATTGGGGTCAAAACTCTAATTTGGCATTAAAATTAGAAAGATCATATCATAGGGAACATGTGTACTAAGTTTCAAGTTGATTGGACTTCAACTTCATCAAAAACTACCTTGACTAAAAACTTTAACCTGAAGCCGGACAGACGAATGGACTGACGAACGAACGAACGAACACAGAGACCAGAAAACATAATGCCCCTACTACTATCGCAGGTGGGGCATAAAAATTATTAATTTTATGAAGTTTCGTTTCATAAGCATAATGATTGGCTAAAGCAACATTTTGATTGTTTGTTCAGTAATTCTTAGTATAATATCCAATTCAACAATATATGCCCAAATACACCATTTTGAATGCAGTATAAAATTATTCATACCTGCTCTGGGATCGTTTGCCTTCTGCAATCCAATCATGTTTACGGGTTAATGTACCCTCCTGGTGTACAGCCTCACTAGCACTAGCTGATGGTTCTGTAAATGTTCACAAGAAAACATTAGAACATTTTATTAATCATTAATAATCATTTGAAGGGAACACAAGGATAATGTCAAACAGATACCTGGAATATTGATATTTTTTAGCAAAGATTTTACATTTAAAATAAGACAAAATGCACAACTACACTGCTAACATAACAATACTTTACAAGACCATGCAGATCTCTACTGCACACATATACATAAGTGTGTTTGAAGAACAAAGAATATAGAAAGGAATTTTATAGTGCAAAAGAAGTAATGTATAAAAAGAATTCTTGTCAAACAACATATCAGACACATTTACATTAGAAATCTAGCAACTACAATATCTGCTCAAGAAGTATTCTTGGTTATATAAACCTTAACTCATGCAAATTTATCTTTATGACTTTTAGTGTGGACGTTTTACCTTGTCCTAGGAAAGCTGGCAAAGGTTCATCTTTTTTACGAGAAAACAGTTTCCCAAATGGTGATTTGGAACGTGATCGTTTCTTCTCTGGCTCTATCATAGAAACTGACATTTATCAGCATGAAATGCAAGATCATGCAGCCAGTGCCAGCAATAAAGCCACTAACCTAAGCTAACTGTCACCCTGTCATGCTTTGGTAATTGTATAGTAAAAGCTAATATCTACTAAAGCCTTTCAGTTTAATGGATTTTATTGCAAATAAAATATGAGTTCTTTTGAAATATAACAGAATGTGATTTTTTTTTATCCAAATTATTTTTCTTTAACTAAAAGTAGGAATAATTAAATCTTTAATCTGTAGAAAATACGGCACTTTTTTCTTTTAATCATATTGATTGTCTCATTTTAAGTATTTATGGTCATTTATCAAATAAATGAATGTGGTTATTTCAGGTATGTCTTTCCCCCCCTTTAAATTGACTCATAATTTGCAGTTGAAAGGAAAAGTTGTGTACAGATAAACCCAACAGAAACTAAAAAATAGAAAAGAAGAGAAGACATCTTGAGGGTAACAGACTTCAACATAATTTGACTTTAGAAATAATTGTATATCATATGTTCTCTGCCATATCAGAATATTTTTATCATTCAAATATAGGCTTGGTTTAAGAAGTAATCTGATCAAGTTGTGATCGATAGAATTATCCAAAAAAAGTTTAATCAATAACAAAGGAACCATTTGTTATAATTTAAGAGTACAGAAGGGCTTAACTGTTGAGTTTGAAACACGCATTTTAACAATATCATATTCTCAACGGTGTTAAAAAAGCAAGCATTTGTTTTTTCATTCAGACGATATTATTAGCTAACCCTTTTTAAAGTGTGTAACATTCTATTTTCTATTTTATAGCTGAACAAGCAGAATTATAGTTAATTGCTGTTTATTTAATGGGATAAAATTTATCTATATTGCTAGTGTACATGCAGTTCTAATATAAAATTTCCCTTCTCAAAATAAGAATATTAATATTCAGAAACAAGTTCCTTATGAACACTGTTTCTTATTAGAATGTTAATTAAAATAAAAAATAAGGAAAATATATAACAGCCTAACAACGCAGGAAGCTAATAAATAAAATTGTATAAGCATTTAAACACATATAAATATGGCTGAAAGATATAAATAACAGAAGAAAATATGTATCTTACAAATAATTATGGTTCAATACATTAAAAAATAATAAATTTCAACTTTTCTCATACAGATAAAATTAATAACAAATTCTCTAGAAAATTTTCTGGTTGCAGAAATTAAAAATAGATTTTACAGAAAAAACTTTGTAAAAATTAAAACAGAGTCAAAATACAAAAGATAACTTTATTTATGTTTAATTAGTATGTGAAAAAATATAAACTATAATAAATAAGATAACTATGAAAAAAGTTAGGGTTATATGTTGTGTTAATTCATTTGTCAAAAAGTAAAACCGTTAAAAATGTGCTATGAAAATTAGCTCCCTGAAAGTAAAAAGTTATTGGCAACTCTATGAGACATGTTCATTGGGTATTTACACAAAGCTGTGACGTGATTCGGGAAATTTAGTGTCTTACCAATAGTACAGGCTTCTTTCAGGCACTTTATAAAGTTTCCAGATATCAACACATAAGGCTATACTTGAAAAGTTATCATCTTTTTATTTGATATTCTTGACAAAAAACAGAATTATTTGCATTGAACAAAAATTTCAAAATATTTACTTAAATTTCCTATAAAATTGAACCCCTGTGCAGTTTCAACTCTTTCCAAACACTTTATTTCTATGGAAAAAGTTTATTTCTTCAAAATAATAAGAAGAGTGTTTATGACCAACAATACACCACTACAATACTAGCTCTGGTTATATATGTTATATGTTGTGTATTTGAGTCTTACTACTAGGACTTGGTTTTGGGCTTGCTTTTGAACTCGCCCTTCCAGCTCGACGTGGTTCACCTTGAAGATTTGAGGATACAACAGTAACTGGTACTGAAACATCAAAGCATGCAAACTAAGGGATAAAAGATTAAAAACAAAAAACAGAAAAAGATGAAGAATGAAAGTAAACATAGCTTATATAATTACTGAAGACAAACATTTAAAGCTAACTTTAATTAACAAGTTTCAAAAGAAAATATTTATTTAACATCACTGAGACCACAATTTGAACTGTTTTATCAATTTTCTATACTATCATATGTTAACCTTTTTGAAACAGTCTAAGTGTTTTAATTAATTACCATGGGTAAAGGAATATGTTCATATGCAGTTAAGATCTATATTTGAGATGCTTTCATTTACTCTTTTCCTTTTATCTTTGCAAAATGCATTAAAATGCATTTGATTTCATGCAATTTCATTTTCATATAACATTCACCCCTAAATGCTGCAAATATTCTATGACTTGCAGTATTTCAGATCAATAAATTCTGTATCAAAAGACTGATGAAAATAGTTTTGAGAACATAAAAGTATAAAAGAGGTAGGTTTAACAGTAAAAGAAGTTAATATGTAAGTAAGGGAAGATATATATTATGTAAAACATACTCTGTTCTACTGGTGGTTGGTCTTCACCGGTACTAGACATTGGCATATCCGGTTCTGATATGACAACAGTAGGTTTCTTTGCCTCTGAATTTAAGGCTACTTCATCTATAGACACAAACAAACATTCATGCAACAACTAAAATCTACTACATCAACCATAACCAAAGGTGCTTAACAATTAACAGTGAAGTTAACACTCATCTCAGAAGCTATGGTGATGAAAGCAATTGCTAAAATCAAAATCTTTCTTTCTTTTTTTTCAAACATTATTGTTATTTTTTTCTTCCATTAACTCATATTTTGCCAATTTTTATTTCAATAGCTTCTGAAAGATGTTAAAATGCAAGAATTATTTTAATGAAATATTAAACACATAAGTGGTTTTAACAACATGTAAATTGAGATAACAAACAAGTATTAATATAAAGAATATGTTTAAAACATAGTGAAGAAAACACAAATACAGGTCTGCAAGATTACAATTAACTATCTCTACACCTAATTTCATTTAAAAATATTTTGCTTTTGACATAAAATAACAGGCAGATATGGAATGTTAAAAAAAAGCTTTTGTCACAGAGTTTCCCAAATGTTGCTGAACACTGTTGTAGTGTAGAAGAGGACGAGCATGAAATATTTTTTAAAATAATATCAGATTTATAAGAAATGGACTTACACAAACCAATACTTTATCAAATTTCCTAAAGGGTAATATGTAGGTCAATGTGACAAAAATGTTGTTCATTCAATAATCTATTAGAAGATATTTAAAATATCATAAGGGTAAAAGGTTAGATTTTAAATTTACATATATATTCTTGCAATACCTGTTTAAATGCACACAAGTGAAAATTAGAACATTAACATATATATTTTAACTACAGGGAATCAATCGGATACAATGTCATAATTGCTTCAAATTACTGAAAATTGTAGGAATAATTTTTTTAATTCCCTATGTGCTTCAACACCTCTACACTAAAGGTACAACCAAAACCACCCAAATTAAACATAACATCAAGTATAAATAAAACAAAGTCATTTTATGAAGTCAGTTATCAGTGCTTTCAAAATTGAGTAAATATGTAATGTTTTTATGACATTGTTTTATTTGACTATGAAAAGAAAAAATTATGACACATAGAAAAGAAAATACATTCAACAAACAAGCAGCCTTAAATATTCAACATGCCCCAACCAGCCAATTTTTAATAAAGAATTAGTGTTAAATGCATAGATTACTGCATTCTCAAAGTAAAATTCACACTAAGATAAAAGTACCAAATCTCAGATAGAAGTGTTTGTCAAGAAGTAGGTACATGCAAGTCCCAAAGGGTCTGAAAAATAGAGGGGAAACTCATAACTATGCTATTTCACCTCTTGGAATAGTAGACCCTCTAGGTAGAGTAGAGGTCTGTTTTGGTGGCTCCCTTGAAGGCCCTGTACAAGGCAAATTGTTATAAAGTTAATAAGCAGATCAATTTCCAAGTCCCATTGTTATCACCTTATCAGTTGGATCATCATGAGGGTGTAAGAATGCCATATAAATGTATTTATACATTATAGCAGAAGACTATATTAAATGAACTCCTTTACTTGTTGTATGGAGTTCATAGGGCAATATTAGTTAAAGCAAGAGAATAATAGGCAGAGTTCAAGATTGTAATTAAAGTATAAAAATATCTGAATGGGGATTCATTTGAATCCAATCTGTCACTGAAATCTCTGGTATTTCTGCTTCTTTTGCTTTTCTTCAAAAATACATCTAAATTCCAACCATTTATCAGTAATTACTGTATTACTATTCCCAATAGACTGACTGGTCTTCTGGTCACAGATCACCTTTCTTTGATTTAAGTCTCCCTCCTCTTCATGTATGGGTTCCTGTTCATGGCACTTTTCCTGTCTTAATACCACCTGTTATATTTTACCAAATGTTTGTCCTTATTCCTTTTAATTTTTTTTCTCAAATCATTATGCTATATTACAGGCCACATTCAAATATTTTACATGCCCTATGTATATTACCTGGTTCAGCTTTAGCTCCATCTAGTTCATCTGCTTTAGCAATATGTTCATCTGATACAGCTTGAATTTCACTTTCTACTGGAGCAGTGACTACAGGTTCTACTATTGGTTCTGGTGTTGGTCTGCAAGATGTCAAATCAATTAAAACAAAGTCAGTGGCTTTCTTGTGGGTCATATCTTAATGATAGTTTGTTATTTAAAGGATTTCAGGGTGCTGGTAGATCTTTGATAGTCTATGTTAACATTAATTCACAACATTTCTTGACATATTGTAGATAATTTTCTATTGTTGAAAACTATAAAAATGTCTTGTTGGGTGGCTGTCTCATTGGCGTATACCCCATACCTTTTTTCAGTTATAATATGACCAATAAAAACTCATTAACTATATTTTATTTCCATGCAAGAAATTTGTATAACACACAGGAATGCCAACTGGAAATACCCTCTATTTGAAGGGGCATAAAACTATTGTTCAGAATGCAAATGTATAACAAATGTTGCAACTTCTTCTCTGGATTGGTAATTCATTTTCAAATTGACATCTTCTGGAATCATGTGTAAAAATTATCCTTACAATTGATCTATTACAGTTCTAACTCATTTTTTTAACAATTGCTTTATTTAGACTTCCTAGGTATAAGAAATGTTGAGTTTAATAAAAAATAAATGTGGATAGTGTCCACATGTGGACACAGATGATGCCCCCGCTTGCATATCATATAGTTATAAAGGGACATAACTGAAGAACGGTAAAAGTGACGCTACCCAAATTTGAACTTGATCTGAGTTTTGTGGTAATAAGCATTGTGTATAAGTTTTACAACATTTGGTTGAGACAAACTAAAAAAAATCAGCAATTTTTATGTTTATAAAGGGACATAACTCTAGAATGGTAAAAGTGTTGCCACCTAATTTCGTACTTAATCTGTATTATGTAGTAATAAGCATTGTGTATAAGTTTCATAACATTTGGTTGAGGCAAACTCAAGTTAGAGAACTGAAACAAAAAAATTGTACTTGATCCTTACTGAGTTTTGTGGTAATGAATATTGTGTATAGGTTTCATAATGTTTGGCTGGGGAAAACTTCAGTTACAGAATGGAAACTAAAAAATTTTGCAATCTTTCTATTTATAAAGGGGCATAACTCAATAATGGTTAAAGTGACACTACCCAAATTCAACTTGATCTGTGTTTTATCAGTGGAAGTCTAAATTAAACATTGCATTGTATAAAGCATTGATTGTAGTTGATTCAACTATAATCATGGTCAAAGGAAGATAACTCCAATTTTAAAAATATATTATATAAACTTGATATTTAGAAGAAAATAAAAATTTTGCAATTTTTCCTTTTATAAAGGGGCATAACTCTAGATCGGTTAAAGTGACACCACCAAAATTCAAACTTGATCTGTGTTTTGTGGTAATAAGCATTGTGTATAAGTTTCATAACATTTAGTTGAGGCAAAATTAAGTTAGAGAACAGAAACTAAATATTTTGCAATATTTCCTTTTATAAAGGGGCATAACTCTAGATCGGTTAAAGTGACGCCACCAAAATTCAAACTTGATCTGTGTTTTGTGGTAATAAGCATTGTGTATAAGTTTCATAACATTTGGTTGAGGCAAACTCAAGTTAGAGAACGGAAACCAATTTCGGGACGTACGGACGGACGTACGTACGTACGTACGTACAGACGGACAAGGGTAAAACTTAATGCCCCCTCCGCTACGGCGGGGGCATAAAAAAATAAGAAAGTTAATTTAAAAACAACTTACGGTTTGGGTGGTGGTAAAAATTCTGCAATCAACTTCCTTCTTCTTTCTTCCTTTTCTAATCTGTATTTCTCTGGGTCATCTTTTTCTTTTGCTCTCTCTTTCATTTCAAACTACAATGAAACACAAATATTTTTCAAACTGATCCATCAAATTATACTGGACAGTGTATATTTGCCGAAAAAAGTTTTCCAAATAATATAATCAAAAATGAAAAATCCATGTTTTGGTTCGGGAAAATGTTAATCTGTTATGGGTAAAATCAGAAAATTACCAAGAGTCCCTAAAACTAGTTCTGATTCATACTCTGTATCCAGTATTTAGCATATGCTCAAAAGAAATACAGAAAAATAAATAAATAAATTTTTTCAATAAATTTCACGATTTTCTACTTAATAAATTGTGAATTTACAAAGTAAAATAAAATGCTCCGCAGGGCGCAGCTTGATACGACCGCAGAGGTCGAACCCTGAACAGTTGGGGGAAGTATGGACACAACATTCAAGCTTGATACAGCTTTGGATTTGGATTGTGATTAAATATTTGACACAGCATAGGTTTCTAACACAGATTGAATGTGGTCTAAGAACTTAAAAATTTTAAATTGGACATTCACCTATTATGGTCCAATATCCAAAATCTAAATACATGGTTAGATTCAGCATATCAAAGAACCCCAAGAATTCAATTTTTGATGAAATCAAACAAAGTTTAATTTTGGACCCTTTTGACCTCAATGTGGACAAAGTTAATAACGGGGCCCAAAAATCAAAAATCTAAATACATGGTTAGATTCAGCATATCAAAGAACCCCATATATTCAATTTTTGTTGAAATCAAACAAAGTTTAATTTTGGACCCCGATTTGGACCAACTTGAAAACTGGGCCCATAATCAAAAATCTAAATACATGTTTAGATTCAGCATATCAAAGAACCCTAAGAATTCAATTTTTGTTAAAATCAAACTAAGTTTAATTTTGGACCCTTTGGACCTTAATGTAGACCAATTTGAAAACGGAACCAAAATTTAAGAATCTAAATACACAGTTAGATTCAGCATATCAAAGAACCCCAATAATTCAATTTTTGATGAAATCAAACAAAGTTTAATTTTGGACCCTTTGGACCTCAATGTGGACCAATTTAAAAACGGGGCCCAAAATCCAAAAACTAAATACACGGTTAGATTCAGCATATTAAAGAACCCCATGAAATCAAGAATAAAACCCCATTGAAATTTGTCAAGAAATAAGCAATTTATAGGAAGTATCTTCTTTTGCACAATCCTGTGCTATTAAATATTTCTTGCTATTGCGCAATACTGTACAATTGACAATTTCTTGCTATTGCGCAATATTGTGCTATTGGATATTTCTTGCTATTGCGCAATACTGTGCAATTGAAGATTTCTTGCTATTGCGCAATACTGTGCAATTGAAGATTTCTTGCTATTGTGCAATACAGTGCAATTGAAAATTTCTTGCTATTGCACAATACTTATAATATAATAATTTACACATCCTGTTTGGTGTGTATCTCCTACCATATCATTATTATTTGATTTTAAATATAAATCAGAAATAACCAACTTAAAATGGAAAATTTTAAAAGAAACAAAAAAGGAAAAAAAGAAAAAAAATGAAAAAAAAATAAATCCCCCCCCAAAATTTTTTGAACCCCCATTATGATTCATCACCCCCAAACTCAATCCCAGCCTTCCCTTTGTGGTATGGTACCTTGCAGTACAATTTCAGAGAGATCCATACACTTGAACACAAGTTATTGTCTGGAAACTAGAAAAAAATGTGTTTTTTGGCCCCTTTTTGGCCCCAAATTCCTAAACGTTTAGGGCAATTACCCCCAAACTCAAACCCAGCTTTCCCTTTGTGATATGGAACCTTGTAGTACAATTTCAGAAAGATCCATACACTTACACACAAGTTATTGTCATGAAACTAGAAAAATGCTTGTTTTTTGCCCCTTTTTTGGCCCCTAATTCCTAAAATTTGGAGGCAATTACCCCCAAAATCAATCCCAGCATTCCTTTAGTGATATGGAACCTTGTGGTACAATGTCAGAGAGATCCATACACTAACACACAAGTTATGTCTGGAAGTTACAAAAATGCTTATTTTTGGCCCCTTTTTGGCCCCTAATTCCTTTACTGTTATTACCATAACCCCCAAAATCAATCCCAACCTTCCTTTTGTGGTATTGAACCTTGTGGTAAAATTTCATAAAGATCCATTCACTTAAACTAAAGTTAGAGTGCGAAAACCAATGTGTCTTCGGACGACGACGACGACGACGACGACGCCGGACGACGACGACGCCAACGTCATACCAATATACGACCACAAAAATTTTTTTGCGGTCGTATAAAAAAGCAGGTACAAACAATATTTAAGATGCAAACACAATGACAGGGAAAAAACGTTTTATTTATATTTTGGCTGCAAAATAATGTATGAAACCACACATTCATATGTTTACGGGACATTTGGATCAGTGAGTTGCAATATTTATCTACCCAACAGCATAATTGTCAGATTAGTCAGAAGGCCCTGTACATTTTCAAAAGCCTGAAAGTTTTAACACTACTTGTTATTGAATACTTACTGTGGTTAATCTTTCTAAGGCTATAAACCTTTCCTCTTGTGTGGCTGCTGCTTTTTCAAATGCCTCATGTTTCTTTATCAATATTTCTACTTCATCTAGATTTTGCTGTATAAATATTAAAAAAAAATAATAAAAAAAAAAAAAATACTTTTGCAAATTTGGATTCCAGATTTAGAATAAAACAAAAAATAATACATGTTTTAATGTTTTTGTAAATATATTATGAATTTATTATTATTTGTGAGTACTTATCTACTTGTGGGTTTAATCAAGAATTTCTGTATTAATCAAAATACAAATTTCCTATAGCTTTGCTTGTTGCAGAATTTGTAAAATAAAACCTGGATATCAAGATTAGGAGAAAATACATGTTTTCCTCAATCCACGAAAAATCAATGAATACACAAAAGTAAATTAACTTCTTGAATAGCAAACAGTTTTACCAGTTGGCAATACTCAGACAACTGATTAGTATGAAGAACACTACATATGTCTCATCAGTATCAAGATGGTAAACTTACACCTAGATCTTGGTTATTTAAGTATGTATCTTGTGCCATCAACCATGCTTCAGCCACTGATGCATCTCTGGCAAACTGGTAAACTTCCAAAACTGAAAAACACAAATCCTATATTTATACCTTATCTACAGGGAAATACTACATAGAATTGGAATAATAAAATTTTACATTTATAGAAATCTAATAAATCTATTTTACTTACAGCTATAACCATTTATCTTCAAACCAATTTTCTTTCACTTTCTCAGTTACATGAATGTAAATTCTGAGTAGTTGAAATCAAATTTGTTCCAGAAAAGAGCTTGATTTAGATGACTTAATCTTCAATTTAACTGAGTTCCACTTAAGTAATTTTGCTTGTAAGACATGTCATTTTTTTATTAGACTAAACCACTTGAAAGAACAGAACATAGTTATAATGCCTGCTAAAGGTATTATTAGTGACACTTATATGCAGAGATTTTTCTAAAGTTTGCTTTTGTATGGATTACCGAGGGGTATTTGCAAATGTGCTCTAAAATGCAAGTACAGATTATGATATCAATTAACATTATTTTTGAGAATATACTTACTAAGTTGTAAATATTCCCATCTTTCTGACCAGTTATCAGACATGTCCTCTCTTCTTGTGGTCAATGCAATTAATTTTTCTCTAACCTAAAATGGAGACAATAAGCCATATTTTGTATTGCATAGTCTCAAGTGGAACACTAATCTTATATCACTCATCAATTTTGAATGTAATTAATCCAAAACTTTATCAGAATGCATGATATGCTAAAGAAAAAATTCCATTTAATCACTGAAATTTACGAATTTCAGAACTTTTTGTTTTTGAAGTTCTACAACTTTGTACTTGATTTGGCTTTCCAAACGCTTTCATTCAAGAGCCAATGATGAGTCTTATGTAGACGAAACACGCCTCTGGCGTACACAATTATAAGCCTGGTATCTTTGATGAGGATTTTAGCCAATTCTCATTTGGCTTTTACCTTGAATTTCGAAATCAAGCATTGTCTTACCTCATCAGATCTGTAATGTTTTCTGTCAAGTAAATCTCTGCCCAAGTTCAAACAGATGGCAAAGTTTTCTTCTCTAGCATCGATCTCTGCCTTTAAACTTTGGTGGTTGTTCATTAATAATTCTACACCAGACACATCTCTAAATAAGTAAGATAAAATATTTGAATAACTAGTGCATATATAATGAATATCTGACCATCAAATTTGTTCTTCTGTTAACCAATGTGCTTGTAAGAAATTAGTTTTTATATTCATGCTATTGCAGGTTTTTAAAACAGTTTCAACAATAACTTTATGGTAAATGGCTATTAGTTTTTTAAAGACACTGTCTTTTTTAAAGAGAACTGGCCTGTAGTTTAGGTTTTGTATTTTGTACTCAATTAAAAATGGGTGTTTTACCTTGGTTTTTCTTGTGTAGTAATTTGTCTGATGATATCTTCCATCCATAATAACAAGTCTCTAACAAGATTAAAGAACCTATACAAGTCACTAGCATCAGCAAGTTTATTTTTGCGTGATGTAACATTAAGTTGAAGATTTTTCCAAGCATTCACAACTTCTTCTTCACGGTAGTTGATTTCCTTACATCTGTCACCGGCATAACCTGTTTGTAATTTTACCGATTCTTCTTGTATTGACTGCACCTGCAACAGGAGAATAAAACACACATATTACTTTTTATTCTAAATAGACAATTTTTATTTTCAATTTTTTTTAATTGAAAGGGTTCCTTTGGAACATGCAGTAACATAATATGTAACAAATATTAAATAACAGTTTAAACAAGAGATTGTAAAATCATAAACTTGCTCCTGCAAGTGATGGAAAACCAGTATTATCTATATAACACCTATTACACTGCAACATGTTGAACTGACAAATGTGGTGCACTTCATGCATGATACTCAAATGCAAGTTTAATTTTGAACATGTTAAACACTCCCTTCAATATCCCCCTCCCCCACACAGAATTCAATATTATAATGGATTTAATAAAGCTTTATCATTACAAATGTATATGCATCTTTAATTTACAAACATGTATTCTGTAACTACGAGTTAGTATCATAGTGACTTACCTGTGTTCCTAAGGTAACTAAATCATTTTCAAAGTTAGCATGTTTCCTCTGCAGTGCTGCAACACTCTGGGCATCTCTGCCCAACTCATCTGGGATGTAATTTTGTTTTTCCTATTAAATAAGAAATTAGTTAATATAAATAAAACAAAGGATTTTATTTTGAAAGAAAGTCTATGTACACATGTTTTATAGTAAAACCTAGCCATTCAAGTATATGAAATATATTCATCTTTTTTTTTTAATATGGACGATCATAAGACTTTAAAAACTTTTTGTTTTACCAATGCTTCTTTATATTTCATGTCAGAGGACAGATGTATTGTTTTGTCTTATTAAAAACTGTAAATGAGAATCCTTTTTTTTTTTGTAATCATCATGACAACAGAATTTTTTTAATTTGATCAGTAAGTGAATATCCAAGTTGTTTCCCCAAAATATTTTACATATCATATAACCTGAGACCTGTGGTATAATTGTCCCATTGGCAATCATACCACACCTCCTTCTCTTGATATACATACTACTACTAACATACTTACTTTATAATCATATCGTATTTTTTCAATGCAGATGTCAACAATATTAAAAATACTTACTAATATTCTTTCTAAAAGATCTTTACAATCGTGATAAAATTTATGTAATTCCCATGAAGCCTGTAACTGTTGTGTTCGTGTATCTATTAATTCCAGTAAATCATTCCATGCTTCATTTAAATTGTCTTTCCACTCAGCAATAGCAGCTGCATCAGAATGTTCGGCAGCTATTAACTGATCACAATTGTCATATGCAGCTTGTACACGTTCAGAACCTACACTTTCTGTTTCACGAGCAAATTCCTTGAATCTTTCCTTTAACATCTGAAATAAATATATCAGCTTGTAAATTAGGATATAAACATACCTCATTGTTAAAAGTATATTATGTAAGTAATGGATTTCCTTGTGAAATTGATTCATCTAACAGAACTAGTTTTTTTTTAAATATAACTCTGTGTGACATTCTTTTTCTAGTAATTATCAACATACTTTATATCAATGGTTTATTTACAATGCAATATATATCTAACAAATAATGGATTCCCCCACAGTCTCTATAACATGGTGACATTGTTATTCTCCTTTCCAATATTTTTTTGCATATCATGTGTTCATCTCATACATTCAGTGTACATTGTTAGTTCAGTATTTTAAATTCTTACTGCATATATAAATTGCTTCTAAATGAACAACAAAGCTGATTCTGTTTTTTAATCATTAAAATTAATTTTAAAATATATATATAAATATACATACTGTGACATGTTCGAAATCCTGCCCTAATTCATGTGATCCTGCAACAATTTCTCTTTCTGCTATCCACTGCATTAAGTCATCAATTTCTCTATTCAGTACATATAATTTCAACACTTCTCCTAATTTATTCTTCCTTTCTCTGGATAAGTCCTTTAAACCAGCATATAATTTATCTACTTGGGACTGTCTTACTGCTATCTGGTCACTGTAGAAGAGAACATTATATTAACAAAATGTCACTTTAACAAAGGTATGATATTTAAAAGATAGCAAAGGTTTGCATTGATCAGTAGCTGTCTACAGCAATTGAATCAACCCATGACAGTGGTTTTAACTGTCTTTACAAGCAGATGCACAGAAGTACATAAACAGTAATAGTTACCTTGAAACATGGACCCATTCGGAGGCCTTTCTTGTATGAAACAAGAAGTTGCAGGTTTTGTCATGTATAGCAAACCCCCACTCATAGTTCAAAGTATCAAAAACCAAAAATTCATTGTCTGACAGACCCAAAAAGTTCTCACACCTAACAACTCAAGACTGTCAAGCTGCTGACCGAATATTTAGTCATTCCGTTCAGTAGTACCGGAGAAAAGTGCCACAAAAATATTTGTTTGATGAACAAACTGATGTCAAACTCATGAACAAGGCCATTGCTAATAGCCTCCCACTCTTTGAGTGTAGGTATAATATACCTAAATGCTGTGTTGACATAACACTGTTCTCCAAGCATACACAAGAAATCCTTACTTTTCAATTTTGAACATGGGTTACTTAAAAGCTGTCTTTTTATATTTTGATTTTGAAAAAGAGCAAGCCTAATAAAAAAAAATTGAGGCAATGATATAAGACTGCACTGAAATTAACTGATATTTGATCAAGTTAAATATATCCCAGAACAAATGCAGCAATGAATGGGTATTAAGACTCGTATTAAAAACTTTCATTTTAATGACAATAATTTAAATACCTTTCAGGATGGTCAGTATCGATAAGTGCTCTGCTCTTTTCACCAAGTTGTCGGACAACATCAGCATAATCTTCTACAGCATTTTCTAAAACTTGATGTTTCTTCATGAAGTTTTGAGCACCAATTTCATCCTTAGCCCTTTCATCACCCATCATGTAAAGTTCTTGTTCACTCATCCAAGCTTCTGCTTCGGATGCATCATAATAATACTGAAAAGAAATAACTCTTATTTAAATTCTGATCTTACAAAAAATATTTTTCAGATCCCAAGAGTAAAATTTGTCATAATTGCTATCATTTGTAGTTTAAGTATGAACTTCAATAAGAAGATTCCATTTAAAGAGCAAACGAAATTGTCAGAAGGGGAGGGAACCACTTCAGCATGGAACCAAACATGTTAACCTTACTTTTTTTCTGAAGTCAAACCAAATTAATTTCAAATATGTAAAAATACATACTTGTTGTGCAATGTCAGATAAGTGGATTCTATCATTGCGTTTAACAACAGCATCCTTCAGGTCTTGCCAGTGGTTCAAAAGGTCTTCAATAAGAGCTTTGAATTCCTCTGACTGTGGGTGTCCTTCATCAATGAGTTCTTGTCCAACATCCACCACAGTCTTAATTCTAGGTTCATGATTTTCAATCTCTGTTTGTAATGACTGCAATTAAACAATCAAATGAATTTCACATCATAAATCAATTGGTATTAAAGCTACTTTCCTGAATAATACAATTCAACAAATATTCATGTAACACAGGAATACATTCTGACAAATGGATTTAATCTAAACTTTCTTTTCTTTTTAAAAATAAAAGAGAGTTTAAACACTTAATATTTTAATGAAATAATGTTTAATTTTATTTTTTTTCAGAAAATAAAGATGTTTTCTATATACACTAAAAGCCAAAAAAAAAAGATATACATAAATATAATCCACAAATTAGTATAGGATATACGAGTAAATAGTTGCATATAATTGCCATATGATGTCTGTGCCTATAGCAACTTTCAGGATATACCTTAATTGAGTTTTTCTGAATGACATTCTTTGTTACATGATAAAATGATTTAAGTGCATTACAGCCAAGCATGATACTGATATATTTAAAGCTACTGATTTAAATAGCTTTACTGCCTTAACTTATAAAATTCTACATGTATATAAAACATAGAGAAAAAATAATTGGGTCAGCAAGGTTACTATTTATTTTTGTCCTATAAAACAGTTTAAAAATCATGCTGAAAAAGCAAGGAAGCTTTACTTATTTACTTGAATAAGCAATCAGATTATGTATTTATCATTGTCCAAAGATTTATCATTTTAGCAGCATTGTTATTCTTTTTTTAAAGTATATTATATATATATTGATAAATCTGTGCCCTGTGTAACCATATTCTGCATAGCTGTATGTAATACACAAGTGTCTGATATGTTTCATTCTGGTATTATAAGACTTGAAATGTTTAATAATTTATAATTCAAGATTCAATTAAAAAGTCCCATATATATCTACATATTTCTATTGCAGCTTGAATGAACTACCTTTCTGTCGCCTTTCAATGGTATTTGGTTCTACACACAATATAATAATAATTATTCAAAAACAACTGAATGCATGCTTACATGTAAAATGTTTACGATGTGTAAACATTCTTCTATAACATTATTTTTGCCATATTTTTAGAATTAATCTTGCACTCTAGAATAATTTGTTAATTTCTAATAACTTCAATACTTTATTATTAAGTTATTTGTAAGATATCAATATCCAGGATTCAATTGAATTCAATTTGTAAATTCAAAAAGTATGCATACCCTAAAATAACAAAAAGAATGAGATACTAATATTTGAATTCCACATTCCATTTCCACTACTAACCTGATTTTTAGTCACATGCATTTGTACTGTAAGTAAACTATTGCCAAACTGGCTGGATGTGGCTTGTGGCATTTTTTCATTGATCCACAATTTTTCATCTTCTACATCTCTAATAAACTGATGAATACGTTTTACTTTCTGTAATTGCTCTCTACGTTGAACTAATGGCTGCTGTATCTTAGCAAATCTGCAATTAAAAAGCACATTTTATATTTTTTTCAATTGTAAAAAAAACACCATCTGGCCCTTATAAATATGAATGTCACGAAAATCGTAATTTACTTCATTAAATGGCAAATATTACAGGAAAATTCATCAAGTGGTCATGAAGTCTGTACAGTGTTCTATAGCTGCTTACATCCTAATCCTTTGGTAACTTGTGGATAGTTGTCTCATTGGCATTCATACCACACATCTCAATATTCTTATATGATAAAAGTTTATCTAACCTTTAAATGTCCTTAACCAACCTCTATTTCTGAAAATATGTTTTCTTATGTAGTGAAAGCTAGTAATATCTAAAATTTGGACACGATTCTAAACACAAGGAAGTTAAATTAATAATTAAAAGTTATGTTACACCTTTCACAAGAAGTAAAAAAAAAATAGACACATCAGTTCTCTCTCCTCCATACCTTTCAGCAACCAAAGCTTTTCTCTTTTCAATGATGGCTTCCTGTTTAGGGTCTATCTTTCTCAGTATTACAGCCTGCTCATCTAACTCGGTCACCTGTTGTTCTTTCATTTTCATCTGTGACTCCAAAAGCTGTAGACATTAGATAAAATTTTGTTAACTTTACCTTCAATCCAGACATTAAAATGCAACTCTGTTTAATAGGAATAAAAGCATGAAAGACTTACAGATAAGGAGAAACATATTAGTTATTATTTGAATATGAAATAGCCAACTTCATTTCATTTATTAAATTTAAATGAATATTTTGTTTATGTGCATAGAGTATTTTCCCTTGAAATGATGAACTTGTTTAGGCACTATGTTTAAAAATACATTTATGAATTAAGATAGAAGCTGACCAATGATGCATAATAACTGTAGAAAAAAATTTGAGAAAAAAATGTTTTTTGTCCTTGAGAACCGTCTTTTCAATATCAATATTTGTATGAGAGTTTTTGCTTATTTGAATTATTCAACTGCAAATATGATATCTCTTTTTATGAGAATTCATTGTCACCTTACTACAGACAAACTCCATATGACTTACATTTTGTTTCTGCATGAGAAGATTAACTGTTGTTAGATCTCTAGCTGCCTCTTCTGTGACTATCTGTGATTCTAGCTGGTCCATCCATCCATCGATATCGTCACAACTCTGTTCATACAGAACTGATCTGTTTGAATCAAACAATTTCTCTCCCTTAGCCTTTGTTGTACGTTCAAGTTCCTCCCACTGTTCTTGTAGACTGGCCAGAATTGGTTCTATCTGTTCTCTTGTTTCTGGTTTATCTTGCAACAGATCTTCTCCAGCCTGAAAATCACAATGATTTAAAGAAAGTTTTATAATTAGAAGTTGGACAGTAATTTTTCTACTTTTAAAAAATCTTTAATTTGAAAAATTCATGTATTATATATGATAGTGAAACAAATGCCATACCAGGTTTACTGATACTGGATAATCAATTCAATTTAGAATTCATTGGTAGAATAATTTGCCTTCAACAAAAAAATTTGCATGATTAGTAATGATATGCTGTATTTACCTTCATCAGTCTCATAAGCCTGTCTTTATTAGCAGCTATTTCCTTTTCAAAGGCCTGATGTCTGACATATTTACTGTGTAGATTCTTGGCATCTCTGTATGTCTCATCCTGAGCTGCAGCCATCTTATCGTGTAACCAGTCTCTCAACTGTTAAAACAACATTTTATGTTTTATTATGAAATAAAACTTTAAAATAAATTTTTAAGCAGCAGCAGATTGGTAAGGATTTTTCTTGGAATGAAGATTTTTGTGCTACATCTGCATGAGACAGGAATAATTTCTTTCAAAATTTATGAAGTGATTGAATTGTCTAACATCAAGAGGCAAATATTTCATGCATATTCAGGTGGAATTTATGGCATACAGAGAGAATAATGGTCTCATATAGTGATTACATCACATTAAAAGTTAAGTTGTTCAATTTAGGGATTGTTTCTTTACACACAAATAAATGGAGAATGTGTCCATGGGACACAGATGATGCCCCTGCTTGCATATAACGTTATAAAGGGGCATAACCCGAGAACGGTATAAGTGACGCCACCAAAATTCGAACTTGATCTGTGTTTTGTGGTAATAAGCATTGTGTATAAGTTTCATAAAATTTGGTCAAGGAAAACTTAAGTTAGAGAATAGAAACCAATTTCGGGACGTACGTAAGAACGGAGGTACAAGCGTAACGCTTAATGCCCCCTCTAGTGACGGCGGGGGCATAAAAAAAAAACAACAGGAAGAGAGTCCTAGGGAAAGAAGAAGCATGTGTTTATTCAATCAAATTTTGGTAGTTGGTATATATATGATTTATTAAAGATTACAGGAACTTTAAAACTGTAACATTAGTAATTCAAAATCTTCAATATAACAAACTTATCTGCTAAATAGTACTATATTCTTAATTATTTTTTTTAGACTTTTTGCAATGCTGAATACAAGATAATCAGCCGTTAATCTAGTATAAACATATATATATATATAAGTTTTTTTTTAAATACCTCATCACATTCTTGTAAGAACTGTTGCAGCAACAACTGGTCACGTAATTTGTCAAGCTGATCACCAGCTCTATTTCTATTAACATCTCGTCTAAAATATTTAATCATTTCATTTAATGGCATCTTAAATCATCCATATTTCTAAGCATTAATTCTAAAAAGCAATATGACCATAATAAAAAAATTTAAAACATATCAGGTATAAATTTGAGTTTTCTAAGTTCATAGATGAATTTCATTAACAACTTTCATTAAAACAAAGAAAACATGTTCACAAGACTGAAGATGCTATTGAAGACTGAGAGAAGTGAAAATACAAATTGACATCAATAATTTCTAAGACACACACAAATGTTTTCATTGTTGAAGGCCATAGAGTTGTCTAAAATTGCTTAAATCCACTTCATTTGAACTCTGGTGGATAGTTATATCATTGGCAATCATACCACATCTCCTTTACTTTTTACAGAATTTTCAACCATAATTTAAAATAAAAACGTTCTACTTTCAGAAAATAGGTACAAATATGACCAGTTTATTTTTAATACTTTGAAATCCACATTTATACCATGAAGGGCGAATGGCATACAAGAAATATTACACAAACACTTTGAAGCTGTCTTTAAAATTATAGCTCACCTTTCATTGATGTTTTCAGCTTTTTTGTGTATTTTATCAGCAGCATAGTGATTGTCCTCAATGAGACGATTAGCAAACTGTAGTACTGCATTAATCTTCTCATCGTTAGCATCAGTAGTAGTGATAAAAGCTTCATGTTGTTTGATCAGGTTTTCTGCAGCTTCAAGTGTATTCTGTAAAAACATTGCCAATGCCGTATTACATAGCCATTACTAAATTACCAAAATTAACTAGAAACCTTTGAAAAAATATTTTTTTCTAAATTTCCTTAAAATTTTTGATTCTTACCAATAACTGTCATTTTCTTAGTTTCCACTCAAGCATATTTCTATTTAATTTCATGTTCATTTTTGTGTGGATTAATCCTTTATCTAATATCCTGAATATATTCTTCAATAACTTATAATGTGCTTGTACATGTACTCAATTCTTTACTTTTCAAAATAAGCCATTAACAAGTATCTATAATTATGAATCATGAAACCAAATTCCAATCATCTGTACTTTACCACAGGGAGATGGTAAAAATGAAGGGATTAATTTACTTGAAAATGTAAAGTTTTGAACCTTCACCAACAAACAATTAAATTGGGAATTAAAAATTCACAAATTACATTAATTCTGAAACAAGCCTATTTTTGAATCTATTCCAGGGTCACTCAAATTCACTTTACATGTCACTATCCATACTTAAAATTCTATTGGTGGAAATAATGAAATAAATAACAACAGAAATGTAGACACATGTACATGATGACAACACCTTCTTTACCTGATGATCAAACAATCCAAGTGTTGTCTATGAGAAATGAACATGAGAGACATTTACTTCACATGTAATGATCATGAAACATCAAATGCATGAATTAAAGTTAGAATTTATCACAGTCTAAAAATATCAAATTTACTGAGTGGAAAAAATATCAAATATTTCATTTAAGTCAACTGTAAAACAAAGCTAAAAAGCAATTTAAGATTTTTCTCATATTTTAAAACATATTATTGCTCTAAAAATTCAGCTGAAACCTAGTAAATTTCTACTGTGAAACACAAAATTGAATTGGGATAATACTTGTTAAATTTCAAAATTAAATAAGATCTGTTTTCAGATAAACTTTACTGAAAAGATGTTGCAACAATGATATATGATGCGACATTCGCAAGATGGTCCCCATCCATGCATCACTGAAAGAGGTCTACTTACAGGAACTTCTTCTTTTGACAAGAAATTTTCTTGTTGGTTCAGTAAGACTTCAGCTTGTTTGGCATCACGTAAGTACATCTAGAAAATACATTCACCAATAAAACAAATAAGAAGGTGCTTCTACAATGTGCAACAATTAAAGGAAAATTTATAGTGAAAAAATGAACAATTATAAAAATAGTGAATTATCACACATAAGAATCAGATTAGGCTTCTTCTATTTTTCATACATTGTTGGATTGTTTTTCTAGTTATTTTTAGATAATCTCGACATTGTCATGAGCAGGTCAAGTTTTCTTATCAATAAGTATCTTGCAATGACATCGGGTTTTTAAATGGCATCATGGCTCATTGTCTTAGCAAAAAAAAATATGATAATAGGAACTGTTTCAAGATTAAAAAACAACAAAACTTTAACATTTTTGATACTTAATAAAAATTTAATACCCATTTTTACCTGTAAGTTGAGACTTTGTGACAGAAGATTTTGTCTATTTTCCCACATCTGTAGAAGTTCTTCCCAGCCATTATCAAGGGCTTGTATTCTCTACAAATAATATATACATTAAAAAAGTCTTTCAAGCTTTAATCATTTAAGTACTGTCATTTTTGAAGCTGTTTCAGTTGCCATGGAAAATATTATGGATATTTCAGTCGACCAACAATACAAATTTTCTCAATTTGAGGAAAGCCTGTTTGAAAGATAATAAACATTGTCATCTTGCTATTTCCCATTTATAAATTTAACTAAATAATTAATCATTCATCATATTTCATATTCATGGTTTGTCAATAACAAAGATTCCTTGAATTTAATCAAATAATAATAAAGTATGAACCTGTCTAAGGAACATATATTGTGGATCTTCTTGTCCCTCAGTGATTTTATCACCAAATTCTTTCATTTTGGCATGTTCTGGAGAATAAGCATCAATTTCATCTTTCAACTGTTGATGTTGGTTCAGTAGTTTTTCAGCATCAGATAAACTGTTAGGAATGTCTTCAGAGGCCACAGTTGTCTGTGTACGAGACAACCATTGTTGGAAATGGTCCAAGTTACCCAAGAAACGCTGTAGTTCACCTGCCTCTCCAAGTTTCTCATCCCGTTCTTTCAGCTGGAAAATGCAAAATAATAATAGTGATTGATTATCCACTTGTTTTAACAAATTGAAATTGTTTGAAATTTAATTTTTAATATCTATTTTTTCTTTGAACCAAAATCGATATTTCGAAAGCAGTTCTTATTAACTAAAGAAAACAGTGAAATGAAAGAAGGTATTACTTACCATTTCCTTGAGGTCCATCCAGACATTATTGATTTCAGAAATCTTTTCTCTGATGGCTTGAGCTTCCTCTGGTTTCTCATCCTGTAACTTATCAGCCTCATTCTGAAGGGACTCAAGCTGTTAAACGTAAAACAAAAATTTCAGAATGTTATATAAATGAAAGAATATGACATGTATTTTCAAACATTCTCTCTAAGGGAAGGAAGGCACTCATTTATGGGTGGGTGTTTTTATACATGAAAGTGTGAGACAATTTTCTCAATTGATGGTTTCAATGTTGAAGAAATGTTGTAAAGCATTTAATTTAATTTTAATAAAAACATAAAACCCTACATAGAAACATAATTTTCATGACTTCCAATAGTTTAAATATTGTACACCTCATCTTTTTATTTACAAGTAAGGATTTACCTACTTACAAATCATGCTGTTTCAGTGTAAATTAAAGTCAGAAACTTTACCTTAGCCTGAATGGCTGCTAAATCTCTCTCCATGCCACTGAGACGGCGCTGTAATGTCATGACACCAGACAAATCATTTCCAAGTTCATCTGTAGACTCAATAACCTTAGATTTCTCATGGATCCAGCTCTACAAAGGACAACCACATTAATAAGTAACATTTTAAAATTTGTACAAAAACATAGTACATCTGATGACCTAGGTTCCAGTGTTATATCAAACATCACAAGTAAAAGATAATTTGTATATATGACACTTGTTTGAAAAATAAAGATCAATCTTTGAGAACATCATTTAATTAAAACATCAGACAAATCTCAAGTACAGATACATAGAATTGTTTACACATATGTCAATCAAATATAATACAACAACAAATCAAAAAGGTAAACAAACCCTGTTCTTACTACGGTTATATATTCATTTATTGTGTGACTAAGGTAACAGTTTTTTTGGTAGATGAGTTTATTTGTGAAAGGAACCTACATCAGATTTAAAAGCAGTGATTGGTGGTTTCCAATTGTGCATATAAAAAAAAATTAACTTATTGAAGATTTAATACCGGTATCTTTTACTTAATGAGCTAACTGTTTTAAATCTATGATCATTAGTACCCAATGATTTTGTAGAATTTATTTTTCAGTACTATATTAACTTTTACAATATAATAAAACAACAAAAATAGTTGAAATCAATTGATTAGTTCAAAATCATAACTGAAAAAAAATAAGAATTTGACCAAAATCAGTAATTAAAATATGTAATAACTTACAATAGTTTCATTACATTCAATGTGGAAGTTCTGTAGACCATGGGCTAAGTTGATGTCTTCACGTTTCTGGTCAACAAGATCTCTCAACTCGTTCCAACTGTACACAAAGGTATAAATAATTTACAATTATTGTTGATAACTATTCAAGTTTAACAAGAAATAAAACGTTTCTCGATAAATAACAACTGTAATAATTTAATCACAGGGAAAAGTTTATCTATCTTTCTGTACTGGATCATTTAGAAATAACAATGCATTAATATGCAACTAAATGAGAAAACTTTTTCTGAATTAATAGAGGCATTTCAACAATTTTATAACAAATATGTTTTGTCTCACAGAACAAAATCTTTTGAAAGATACAAATTTTTTAATTAGGTAAAGACTTATTACTTTTTTATGATATACAGTGTAATTATCTACTTTCAATTTATCTGCCCTATAAAATTTAACTTAAGAATTTCTAATTTGCATAACTCTGAAAATATTTCTCATTTAACTATCTATATAAACCTACCTGTCATTAAGCTCATTCTGTTTAGCAATAACCTCAGCAGCATTTGGATGTTCCACTTGGAGAAGTTGACGAGCGAGCTGGTTAACTACGGCAACCTTTGATGCATTGGCATTCATCTCATGTTCGAAACTATCAAAGCGATGCTTCATTATTGCCAGCTCCTCAATGTCATCTGTTACAATTATTGTGGTCAAGAATTTCTCCTAGAAAAAAAAATATTTGAATTATATACATAACAACATACGCAACTTATCAAAATTGCAAACAAAGCGGATTTCAACATCTGTATTATGTTTCAATCTTTTCCTGTATCCATTAATCAATTTATTCAAGGAATTAAGTTTTGCATGAATCCTAGAAAAAATAATCATGTAAAGATATTTTGATGTATATATAGAGTTTTACAGCAACAGCAGAATTTTACTCCATTCTTTATACGTCATAGTTCAAATAGTCATTTTTTAATGGTAAATATGAACTGCCAAGAAAAGTCCTAACCTTACTTCAGGTTGAAAGTCTATATTGATCCATTTATACTTTAGAATACTGAGCTGATTCTAGTTTTTATGATAGTACTGTTATAGCTATGCCTGTTAAGCTTAAATCTGTAACTGATTATTTCCAAATCTACATATATAATAATACAGATAAATTCCTATCAAACCTTTTCATCTATCCATGTTTCCACACCATCAGATTCATTGAAGAGTTTGTACAAGGACAAAGCATCAAGTAGTCTCTGTTTACGTAGTTTGGCCAATTCTAGTAGTTCTTGGTAACGTTTGTCAACCTGGCTTAATCTAGCAGGTACTTCAGGATTCTCCAAGTCCTATAAAATGATAGTGATTCAGCATGTAGTCAAAAGGCAAACATATTTTGATAAAGATATTCACAAAACTATAACAATAAACACTGGAAATTACATGAACATTTTCTATAATGGTAACAATAGTGCAATTATTTGTAATGCATTTTCCATAGGGTAACAGTGGTGTTCCATGTTTTACATGTATTTCTTGAAGACTTTACAAATTAGAAAAAAAAAGGGTAGCCGTTCCTGTTACTAGAAATGTCAGCATTGTATAACAGCCAAAAAAATATATATGGTCATGCGGCAAAAGTTGACTTAAAATGGAGCTGAAAAACGTCTATTTTTTTTTTTTTTTGGCTTAATCAAAAAGACCTTTTTTTAATTGCTCCTACATGCAAAAATTGACTATATTTTCAATACTTTGTAAAGTATGAATTTGATTTTCTGGCTTTTTTAAATCTAAATGGATAAGCTTTCGATTAAAAGTAATTCCAATTCTGTATCATCTAATCGAAAGCTGTACACGATTCTATTCTGAGTACTATCTTGGGGTCAAAAGCTTGCCAGTAAAATGTAAACAAATAATTGCACTCTTGTAACCAAATGGATTATCTACAATTTGTTTTATTTTGGTCAGTTTTATATCTCTCTCATATCAATAAGCAGCGAGAGGCTTACAATTTTAAAAACTCTTTTTTGCAAGACAACTGTCCAATCAAATTTTTTTTGCAAGACAACTGTCCAATCAAATTTTAAGACATTTTAAGACATGGAAAATGATGACCACATTTGATGACAAGCCTTAACTCAGTTTATATGAATCATACCTCTTCACCAAGACTCGCTGCCTGTTCATGTAGGGCTTGTATTGTAGATTCATAATTCTTTAGTTCATCCGTCACTTCCTAAAAGTAAACATAGTATATAGTAGAAGTCACATGATATGAATACATTATAATTGACCATGAAAATAATTTTTCATTTATATTCATGACTCCTGTAATTCAGACAAGAATAAGGTAGTACAAAACATAAAACATAATTAAAACATTTTACTTTTTCATCTTAGATGAGTAACTGGCTAGTTCACTTCTATTTGACATGGTGAGAATGTAATGTTCTGAATCTTGTACCAATGTATATGTAAATTTAATTAAATACTTTGGTAATAACATTACCTTATGTTTCTTCAGCAATGACTGAACACTGGCTTCATCCTTGCCAACATCTTCACTGGATACCAATCTTAGTGTATCCATCATCCAGGCATCAACATCATCTGCATCAGCGAAGAACTAGAAAAAAATTTAAAGATTTCAGGATTTAAAAAATCAAACTGAGTACCAAATGATTTGGCGGGGATGGGGGGATGTAATTTAGATAGCATTTTTATCAAATTGAATGCAATGCAGTCAGTCCTTAACCTAAACCTTAATTTGTCATGAAAATGAGATGACTTCTATAATTGGATCTCAATGGTTTATTGCAAATCAAATCTGAAATATGTCTTTGTTTATTTTTTTTATGAATTACATCACTCCTGACCTTGTGAACCTAATCTGTGACCAAGAATTACGCTGACCTTGTGAACCTAATCTGTGACCAAGAATTATTTCATTCTTGCAAAAAGTTTTCAATCAATAAATGGTCATATATTTTGTAAATATTAATGTCTATGTGTTTAAATGTGTACTTCCAGTTCTAATTGAACTTGCAAATTCCTTAAAATCTGACCTATTGTTACCTACCTGGTAGAAGTCGACAGCCTCATGAAGCCTCTTCTTTCGGAATGCAGCTAGATCCATCAGACTATCCCACTGTTGGTTGATCTCATCTATACGCTGCTGAATCTTATCAGCTCCGAAATTTCCCGCATTGATGAGATCGTTGCCAATTTGTAAGACAGATTCCAAGTGGGTATGTCTGGCAGTCATCTCATCTTCCAGGGCCTGAAATTTAACAACAAAATTTAAATATTTTTTGAAATATATAACATCAAAACAATTTTCTATCTTAACAATCAAATTTTATTGATAGTTACTGTTTAACATGCATCTCTTAGAGAAAAAAAATCAATTACATTCCTGTTGAATAAAATGTGTCCATAACCTTTAATATTTTCCTTTTTGATTTGAAAGTTGAACTTATCAATACCTTATGTTTATTGAGAAGAAGATGAACACTGGTGAGGTCATGACCCAAATCAGGTGATGACATAAGATGTTCCTTTTCTCTGATCCATCCCTCTTCATCTTCCATATCCCAATAAAATTGCCATAATCTTCTTGATTCCTCCAGGCGAGCTCTACGTTCAGCAGCTAAGGCTATCAATTCATCATATGCAGTGTCTAAGGTGTTCATACGTTCCTTAATTACTTCCTGTTCACAGGGACGATAGCCTGTCAAAAAATTTGTTTTTAGTTTCATTTGTCTAAACAATTTTGATGATATAAAAGAATAAAGCAAATAGATATTATATAAACCTAGCATTGAAATTCCAAGAAATATACATTATGACCTCTGTATTTTTTTTTTTTAGCTATATTGCTATATTGGTTCAGTTGTAAAATCATCAAATGTGTAGAATATTAAAACTTTTTTTTTTTTTACAAACATGCTAGTATGATGTGGAACATTATCTTATGGTTGTGGCCTGTTATTTATTTCTTGCATGAAGAGATATTTCTCGTATTACAATTTACAAAAAAGTGATATGAAAATATGCGTTAATTTGATTGGCTTATTCGACATCATGAGACGATATTACGACATTTCCGTTGGCTATTTGTTAGGTTATTGATAACTTTCAAAGGTAAAGACGATGTACAATTCGTCCGTGGAAACAGACATATGTGCTTTCTTCAATAATATACAAAACACTCACACTTTTCAACTGACAATCTTCATTTTGTCATATTTTATTACATTCTGAAGTGTACAAAAAGTTTTAAAATGTCTGATGTTAAAGTTTGACATCGTAAAAGGACATGACGTCATACTGGTATGTGCAAAAGACTAGACCAACGATTCGCGGGTTTTTAATTCAACACAATGAAAGTGTTGACCATAAGAGAAATAGGTTTAACAACTTGTGAGAATTGGATATCGCTTGATATCAACTCTCGTTATTTAATTCAAATAGTAATAATAAACTCGCCAAAGGCTCATTTATTATAATATTGAAATTAAATAACTCGAGTTGATATAAAGTGATATCCAATTCTCACTCGTTATGAAACCAATAATCATCCTGAATTCTTTCCTCTTACTCCTTAAAATTGTGAAATGAGATAAGTTCAAGCTTCTTAATTGAATGTCCATTTTAGGATCCAACTTGGATTAAACAAATGGATTTCCATATTCAAGATACAACAATAAAGTATTTACCTCCAACATCTGAGAAGTCACCATCAACAAATCTGTCAGCTTGTGTGTTGACTGTTTTTACTCTCTCTCCTAAGACATGAATGTCAGCTTCGATCAGACTGTGTTTTTGTAACAGATCATCCACACCCATCAAATGTTTACCATAGTCCTCAGATAACAACCTTGCCTTAATTTCTTCCATCCAATCCAAAATATATAACATTTCTTGGAAGATTCTCTGTATGCCAAGCGAAAGTTCCAGACGAAGACGTCTGGCTTTGAGAAGTTCAATCAAGTAGTTCCATAATTTCAGTACATTGTCCTTTCTGAAATAGAAAAGCAAAATAATGGTCATAAAACAGTAGAAGTTTTTCAAAATATGCATCCCAGCAATACACCCTCTATTACAGAACCAATCAAGTCAATTAGTTTCTGCACTTTCAAAACCCTTTACACAAAAGGAAAAACTATAATGGTTCAGTTAAATGCATTTGAGTGGTATAATTCTATTTTTCTTAGTTTGAGGGTCTACAAATATCCTGCGTCTCACATAGTCATCTAAACATCCATTACTTCCCTCACAACATTAACTAATTGCAAACAAGAAGGGATCAAATTGGACCTTAAATCGAATGCATTTAACAAAGCATTAACATTGAATCTATGTAATAAAATATAGCAGTACTTGTTTAAAATGTTCCCTTTCCATAGGTAATATAGCCATATATTGTCAATTAATTCAGTTTAATGCCAAAATTACACAAAATCTTTACTTTTAAGTCTCGTACATTTACAAGAAATAATATGAAGTACAAACCCCTATCGTGTGTTTTGTGTTTATATATTCCCAGGCTAAAAATTATTTTGGGCAACTCTAATGCTTTGTGTATACAGCTTTTGCTGTAATAAATATTCCTGAAATTTGTCTACTCCTGACAAACCATCCTTATGACATCACAATAAAATTGTCTCATTACACATTCATTTTTTTACAAGTTTCAAACATTGTGATTAATTACGGAAAATACCATTTTTTAACTTGGGTAAATTGCAGTATAGTTAAGCCCAAAACGTTCTTTTTGTGACCACCTCTTGTGTCATGTTTTCAGAATAAAGCTATCTCATGGCAACTTAAAAACCATACTGCTACTATTTAATTTTGTATGCACTTGATATTTGAGGAACAGTAAACTGTAAATGTGTCATCTAAAATACTGTACAATGTACTAATAATGTATTAAATACCTTGAATTTATTCTATCAATATCATGGTAGGTTTCTTGTTGTAAGTCACTAGCCACAGACACAACAGCTTGAACACGTTCTTCATAAGCATAAATGTCAGTCTCTATTGCTTCATGTTTCTTTGTCGCAGCCTCTACAGCAGCCAAATCAAAGCCAAAGTTATCTTGTGACACCAGACGTTGATTTTCACTAAGCCATGTTTCACGCATACCAGCTTTTCTATCAAATCTAGCAGCCAACTGTTCCAATTTCTCTTGTCTGAGAATATAGAATAATCCATTTCATTCAAACATTCTAGATAAGTACTTAAAAAGTCATAAAAAGGTTGCATTCAACAAAAAGACTTCATGCATTTCCTATGGATCATCTCAGAAGCTTCACTAATAATTCTCATGGTAAATAAAAAAAGTAATTCTAATAGTAATCTATTTCTAAGATATACTTGATCCAAGGCACAATTCTAATTTGCACATCTTAACCAGACTTCATAGCGTTTTCTTAACAGAACTTGTCATTTAACTGAAATGTTGTATCCACATAAACTAACATTAATTTAAAGGTAATCACTAATATATTTTGTTTTATATCTAATGTATTTTAAATCTTAGAAACAAATATTTACCTTATCAATTCTTCTCTCAAGGCCAGTTCTCTTTCATGTTCTGATTTTTCTAGTCGGTCCCAGGCTTTGTTGATATCAGAGATCAGTTTACCTTCTTTTGGAAGGTAAGGTTTCTGATTGTTTGCTCTCATTTTACTTTGGATAGTAAACAACATTATTTCCAAGTTTCCTTTTTCATCAAACCTACAAGAACAAAATGAGAACATGCATTAAATTTTTCTTATAAGTAACCAAACAGCACAAGTCCACAAAAAGTGACAGGGATAAATCAGTCAACCGATGCACATTAGGACAAGGATCCCAGCCCTCAAAATTTGGCCTGGACTGACAAAACTTTGATAAGTGTCACAGTTGTTGCTACTACAGGTATAAGCATTCTTTCATTCTGTTATGGTGGTTTGCTAAAAAACACAGGCTGGCAATTTCATGGTTGCTTCACTGTAAACTATCTTAAACCTGTTTAGTTACAACCCTGTAATCTGCTTACAAGAACCAATATGGTGTGTATCTTAAGACAATATATCTCCACTCCTAACAGAATATAGAAATAATTTTGCTTGTAGAAATTTAAAGCTGAAATAGTTGTTAGGTAACCAAATTAATGAATATAGAATTGACAAATCTTGATTATCACATTTGCAATCTGTTTTATAGCATAGTAACAAAACTATTTCTACAAAGTAAATCATACACCAGATACAGAGATTACAATCTAGAGGCTCCAGTTTTCAAGATGATAGGCAAAGATGCAAAAATTGGGGAAAAAATCATTTAAGGGCAATAACTTCAAATAGGAGTCGACTAGCGATTTCGATCATGTTGACTTACTTGTAGATCATGGCTTGCTGATCATTTTTGTTATTTGAAGTTTCTGTCCATCTGTTATAATTTTCGAGATAATAGGCAAAAAATTTTAAAAAAAAATGGTGAAATTAGTCGTTTCAGGACAATAAGTCTTATAAAAAGTCATCTGACAGTTTTGATGTTAAAAGATATTAGGAAGATCTCACTCATCATTCTAAACATTTTTGCCTTTGAGCCAGATGAGCTAAAAAAGCAGTAACTCCATATCAATTATATATTGTGCTTTCCCACTCATAAATTTTTCATTGCCTATTCAACGGTATGTTAAGCATTTGTCTATATGGCCTACTTCTACTGTTGATATAAGATGGTGTACAGCAACAAGTTACATTTCCTTATTACTATATCATTTCATTTCTTCACATGATTCTTACTTCTTTGGTTTTTCTCTGGTTCTGTAGGTATTAAATGCTGCCAACTGTTGTTGAACACCATACATAGAATTGGCAAACTGTCTGTCATTTAGAATAACAATGGTCTGTTCTATCCAGTCAAGGAGGTCAGAGGTGAAAGTTTCATACTCTTGCACAGATCTGTCAGAATCCAATGCATTATCGATTACCTGTAAAAAATATTGAGATAATTGTTTTATGCTTCTAAAATTTTGATGTATCAATAGAAAATTGAATTGTGATGAATGTATATATTGTTTATCATTTTAATTTGTGTTATGATTTATATTTTTTTCCATCTGAAAATTGTGTTGATTTTAGTAAATTCTATTAGTAAGGAACAATTAAGCAAATTAACTTTATTACTTCAAACTGTTTAACCCCACCACATTTTGTGCCTGTACAAAGTCAGGCTATCTTGATCATGTGTTGAAAGTTGTATTCCTGAGGAGTTGGGTACTGATGGTTGATCATGTGTTGTAAGTTGTATTCCTGAGGAGTTGGGTACTGATGGTTGATCATGTGTTGAAAGTTGTATTCCTGAGGAGTTGGGTACTGATGGTTGATCATGTGTTGTAAGTTGTATTCCTGAGGAGTTGGGTACTGATGGTTGATCATGTGTTGAAAGTTGTATTCCTGAGGAGTTGGGTACTGTTGGTTGATCATGTTGTAAGTTGTATTCCTGAGGAGTTGGGTACTGATGGTTGATCATGTGTTGTAAGTTGTATTCCTGAGGAGTTGGGTACTGTTGGTTGATTATGTGTTGTAAGATGTATTCCTGAGGAGTTGGGTACTGATGGTTGATTATGTGTTGTAAGATGTATTTCTGAAGAGTTGGGTACTGATGGTTGATTGTGTTGTAAGTTGTATTCCTGAGGAGTTAGGTACTGATGGTTGATCTGGTCTGTTGTAAGTTGTATTCCTGAGGAGTTAGGTACTGATGGTTGATTGTGTTGTAAGTTGTATCCCTGAGTAGTTAGGTACTGATGGTTGATCTGGTCTGTTGTACTGTGCAGTATTTTTGGTGATTCCTGTTATCCCTTTTTTTATGTATCATTGATACTGTACTATATGTTTCTGGTTGTCTTTTTTACAACAGAACTAACTTGGATTTGTTACTACTTGTCCAGTATAACAGGTCTATAGTATTATAGTACAGTTTGTTCTTGGGTATAAGATCTTGTCTTGGCTGTGGTGTTACAGTGACTAGGTAGGTTATTTAGTGATTTCTATCATCAATATTTATGAATATGATGTAATGTATGTGTTTAATTGCAAAAAAACCAGTGTTTTTATGGGATTTTTTTTTGGAGAGGGTGGGACTATCTTTATTTCCACTACATTGTTTTTGTTCAATTTAACATCCTTAATCACAACTAGACCTTAAGTGGTTATTAAATCTCATAATGAGTATTGCACTTCCTGTAGACACACACCTTCCCTATTCTCTTTCCTTGAACAGATTCAGCCTTCATCTTTGAGAAGTAATGGTAATATGTAACAACATAAGTAATAATAGACTTTTCATCAGGAAATTCAACATTGATATCTGAAATGAAATGAAATATATATTTTTTTCTGTTAAGGTAGCCCAATTTTGTTTAAACATCACTTTTAGCATAGTACCATATTAGTTTTGTGATTATTATAAACTTCTTCAAGTCAAACATGGCCGCCATGAAGTGGCTAAGTGTGCTGAATGTAACATTTAACACCAATTATCTATCAATCAATCTTAAAAGTCAAAACAGAAACAATCTTGGTTCTGCATTCTTTTTTAAAAAAATTTTTAATTGCCCACTGCTAACATGGTAACAACATAAAGTGTGTAGTAAAGGGGCAGACTTATAGACAAACTTGATTACAAGGACATTTTCCGAACACCTGTTGCATTGCAAAAAATTGTTAATACTTTTTTCAGCATACACAGATTTCTGCACCAGGTTGCATGATGTATATAAACTTGTTACAAGTTATTGTTAAAGAAAATGTATATAATCTCCTCATGTGGAAATATTGAGCATTGAATTCATATATTAATCTTTTGATTTGAAGATAAATGATTTCAAGGTGAAAATTAAACCATTCTAATCCTTTCCAATAGATACAGCTTATCTAAAATTCTCAACATTGACTATCAGCAGTCAAATCAAACAGTGCTATCTGCTCATACTACAATCTATCATATTTTTATAAATCTTGGATCCAGGCCAGAAGTATTTATAAAAATTGTCATGAAGGTGTTATCTAATGTGTTCTCTGAATTACCTTCTGGGTCAAGAAGTCTTGTAAGACCAAGTTTGTCTTCAGCCACTTCAAAAGCATTGTTAAGGTTGTACAAGGCATTAGATTTCTGTAATTTTTCATACTGGATTAAGTCAGGTCTGAAAATAAAAGAAAATTTCCATTCATTGATCATTTATTAACATTATGTAGTCTTTTTTCTGTTTATTTTTTCCTCTCTCTCCTTTTTGTTTACATTTAACCATTTTATTTGTTTACCAAGATTCTTATTTCATTCATTATTATAGTTTCCCTGTTACATTGATTGATTTTACAACCTCATAAAGGGAGACGGCTACTTTTTCTTCTTGATGCGCACACACTGTTTTTTTTAATATACTTTAATCTAAATAACATATTGTAATAAATCAAACAGTTTAACTAAACCCACAAAACTGATTTTTTTTTACATTTTATTGTTTGCATTCCATAAATATCATAGAGTTAAGTCTCATTATCAATACAATTTTATCTACAAACCAAAAGAAATTATCAAAGAAATAGTGTGTAACAGTAGTTTTTTTTTTTTATCTATTTCAAAGGAAATCATCAATGGTTTGCTTGTAAACCTGTCTTCAGTTCTCTAAAATTAACTTAATGAAGCAACATGATTTTTGTATTAACCTAGCAATGAATCACAACTGTTATTTATCAATATTTCTCCTCTAAGTCAGTAACAGATTCAGCTGCCAATATGTGAAATCATACAAGTGGTAAATCAGTACAGATTATTCATTAGTAATCGGTAAATCAAAAATATATGATAGAAAGCAATCTTTTTTATAAGTGCAGTTTTAGATCTTAACAAAAGTGGATGTATTTTTAACTTCAATAAAACATTTTTAGCACTGATATGTGACCAAATCATATCTAATGAACATGTTTTATGTCTACCCTTCAACAATTTTTCAAGCATAGTTAATGTTTTGAAAAGAACCAACTTAAATTGACAACTGTGGGCATTTGCCATTTTTCAAGTTCATTTCAATTATGCAATTCTTCCATCGAAGAAATACATCACTACTGAAATGTCATTCTTAAATTTACAAAATAACAAATCAGATATTACACATCAACTAGTCAAATTTCCGCACCAGTAGTCAGTCTCAGTCCATTAAACACAACTATATTCAAAGAATTTATACAGTGTGAATTATCAACCCACTAGATACATGTAATATGTTTGGTTTAGAGATTAAAGTTTCAAGGGTTTATTTCTAATATTATTAATACTCCTTGAATAAATGATGTTAAATCCTTTAATAAGTTTATTACCACAACTATGGTATTATATGATCAGTAAAATTATGTGTTATTATAGGGTGTTATGTGGAAGATAAATAATTAGATCAAATAAAAGCTCCACATCTGGCACAAAATCTGATGGCATGTATCAAGACAAGATACAATCATCTATTTCTGGTAATTGACACATCCCTCTGGATGATTCAGTTGCCATGGAAACAAAATTACAAAACAGTAAGAAACATTCCACAGATATCTATCAGTAGCATCCCCCACCAGGTGGCTTCAGTTTTAGAAATATGGGCTACATGCCAAGGTTAATTAAAGGGGCATGGCATAAGTTGTCAAACTCCAACTATGAGCTCAGCAGGTCACATGGGATCATCAATAGTTATAGATTGTAATGCTTTACCCTATCAATACTGAATAATGAATCATTCTTTTAGTCAATCATTATGATAAAGATCAGGACTTGGGCTGACCTTTGGCTAATCTCTTAGGAAATCACTGTTTTATTAGCTAGATTTGCATATGTTTACTTTATAGTTTCCAGATTTACCTCTTTATCAGAGAAGAATGAGACCATAAGTGGATTTCAAGAAAAGAAGATAAAAACTCATTTAACCTAATTTCTAATATAACAATAAGATGTGAGCACTATTTTAGCTAATGGATAGGATATATAAACTTTTGCCCATTTTTACAGTTCAACCCTAAATATAATTCATTCTGTAACAAAATATAAGGAGTTACTATATTTTCATATCTTAATTTTCACAGTATGATATATAATGGCTTATGAACAAGTTTTAAGGGTGGAGTTATGTTACATACTTTTAACAAGAGTATCAGATGCTTCACAATTACTTCTACAGTAACAGGTTATCTAGGCTATAGATATATTTATAAATGTTTTTCTCTTAATACTTTTTTTATCCTTGAAAAAAAATGGTAACCTGGGAAATAGACAATGTCTATTTCAGCTGCAGGATTATCCTTACAAACCATTACTAAAAGGCACATGTGAAATTTTTGAAGGCAATACAACAAATGAACCTTCGAGATATATTTTTATCTCAAATATCAAAATGTTTGAAACATTAAAATCAAAGTTAAGTATATCAACCTATTCTTATTTGGACTCCTACAAAAAACTTTCTATCAATACAAGTTAACACCTACATATATTGTTTATAGGTAAAATAAGGTTATAGAACAAGGTAACTGTATGTCTAAGATGTTATGCTGACAATTACGCTGTCACTTCAAATACTCCCAGGGCATTCATCCATTCACTTTTTATCAAACAATGTTTTGTGGTATTTTATCAGGTGACTGACTTGAACACCAGTAGGAAATGACCTTTAACTATTATGGATTCATCATTATTTACGGGATACTAATATTCATGGATTTAATGTGTAAAGGTGAACAACCAATTTAGTGTTCAACAAAATACAACAAGAATGTGTCCATAGTACACAGATGCCCCACTCGCACTATCATTTTCTATGTTCAGTGGACCGTGAAATTGGGGTCAAAACTCTAATTTGGCATTAAAATTAAAAAGATCATATCATAGGGAACATGTGTATTAAGTTTCAAGTTGATTGGACTTCAACTTCATGAAAAACTACCTTGACCAAAAACTTTAACCTAAAGCCGAACAGACAAACGGACGGACGAACGAACACACAGACCGAACAAGTAAAACTGTGAGCTACTGCTCACTGATGATACCCCCGCTGAAATATTTCGGTAAACAGGAAGTTGTTGAGTGATGAATCTGAAAACGCATCGCACGGTGTAACTTACTTATATATACCCTGAAACCAAATTTCAGAAATCCTTGTCAAGTAGTTCCTGAGAAAAATGTGACAAAAATTTTCAACTTGGCTATCATGTGTAAAATAATACAAGTGTTCGGTAAACAGGAAGTTATTGAGTGATGAATCTGAAAACGCATCACACGGTGTAACTTACTTATATAAACCCTGAATCCAAATTTCAGAAATCCTTGTCAAGTAGTTCCTGAGAAAAATGCGACGAAAATATTCATGGGACGGATGGATGGACTGACGGAAGGACAGACAGAGGTAAAACATTATACCCCCACTTTTTTAAAGCGGGGGTATAAAAACATAATGCCCCTCTTCTATCGTAGGTGGGGCATAAAAATTTAAAACCTTGAAATCAAGTATCCACATAGCTAAATGATTCCACAGTATCTTACAACTCTATCTCTCTTGCATACACAAACAAACACTGTCGGATAGAAATATAAATGCAATGATTTTTGTAGACATAAAGTGATAAATGAATAATTTATTCTGTGTAGGATATAGATTCAAATTTCCATTTCCATTCATTGAAGTGATCAACAGCATGCATACTAACAACCACAAATTGAAATTTTCACGATTCACCACACCACACCCATACATGAAGTATTCACCAGTGTTAAACTGTCTATTTATTATTATTTCATAATAACTCATGTACTTTATTCAAGGTCAATATTGCACATCGATTTCATGCTTCAATGGGCAACGCCTATGTAAAGTCTAGTGCATAGTCATACGGATTATACAGTAAACAACCTCCAATTCATTTGTAATTCAGTTAGTCAGCAATAATTTTCTCTCTAGACTAAAATAGCGAGGGAATGTGCCCAGATGATCAATATTGTATGCTAGTCTATTATCTGACTGTTGTTCTAGGAGAACATTGATTTTTCTGTTATAATTTGAAAGCGTCTTTTTGGCATTCTGTAATTCACCTCTTAAAGCTGTAGCCAACTCCTCTTGTCTATAAACATCTATAAATATTGAATATGTTTACCCACTGTCTGGTAGAAATTGGAAGGAATGTAAGTGGAGAGCTTAATATTAATCCTGGTGCACTGAGTTTTTTTACAGCAATAAAACTGGTTTTCTAACATTAATAATAAAAGAGTAAACCTTGCAATACAGATATATTTGCAAGAATTGTTTTAGTCACGCTATCATCCTACATGCATTTACACTGTTCCCATTATCATGATAATAAAGTTCATTTCAACAAAACTCAAATTAATATAAAGCAGCATCGTATCCTAACAACCACAAATAGTTGTTCTCCCTTGTCCATATTCCAAAGTTACATGAAATAATTGATCATAGTCGCAAACGGACTATTTATGATTTGTAATCTAAAATGCCATACTAGTATATCAGAATCATTCAAGTACCCTTCATTAAGAATTTTATCAGAAATCTGGGTTCAAGACTAGGAGAAAAAAGGTACCCTAGGTTCATTCAAAGGGTTGCTGAAAGTTTTTTACCATATAGAAAATCTGAAAATCTTTTTCAAATGTGTACACACAAAATGTTGGCACATCTCCAACATTCTAAAAAGTGTTTACGAGTTGAAAACTGTTAGAAAAGATTACACAAAACAGGTACCCATTTACCAAGCTCATCCAACCACCCACTACTTGAAAATTATCATACCATAGGGGTTGCTACACAAAATAGATGTTCATACATTTTCTGAGAAAAAGCTGAAAGTGTTACAATATTTCAACATGTTTAAGGAAAAGTTGAATATAAGATAAGCAAACATCCTTAAGCATTTTAACTTTATTTTGCCTGGGCTGGAAAAAATGGAAGTACATGTACTACTAAAGCTGAAGCTGAAAATCAAAAAGCCAAAGGCATTGAAAAAATTACAATATGTACTGAAAAGAAAGCAAATTTACAACCACATAGGTGTTCAATTTGTTGAAGCCATAATTCCATTCTCCATCCCTGTTGATAATTATCACCAGATTCTCAATTGGGCCGACCTAGTAAGTAGGAACTACTTGAGCTTACAGAGCATCTTAGGGCCAACCTAGTAAGTAGGAACTACTGGAGCTTACAGAGCATCTTAGGGCCGACCTAGTAAGTAGGAACTACTGGACCTTACAGAGCATCTTAGGGCCGACCTAGTAAGTAGGAACTACTGGAGCTTACAGAGCATCTTAGGGCCGACCTAGTAAGTAGGAACTACTTGAGCTTACAGAGCATCTTAGTTCAATGCAGATTTTTCATGCAGTTTTGAGTTGCTATCAAATTATCTGAGTTGTTTTGTAATATCATATTGTTTCTATTGATTATGTTTTTGTCTTACTACTTTCCAAATAAACTGCTTCGCTGAGCGCAGCTGCATACGTCCGGCAGAGGTCCAACCCTGAACAGTTGGGGCAAAAAAAGGACACAATATTCAAGCTTGATACAGGTCTGAATTTGGATTGTAATTAAATATTTGACATATTATAGGTTTCTGAATAAATGTAGTCAAAGAACTTAAAATTGGTTATATGAATTGAATTTATATTCAATTAAAAATTTCTTGCTGTTGTGCAATACACTGTGCTGTTGAGCAATACTTAGTAAATCTGTTGTCAGACTATAAACAAATAAAGTTCAATTTCTTCTCAATGTCATATTTGAAATTTATGAAAATCAATAGGCAGATTACATCAATAGCTATAAATAATTCCGCAAAGTTTCATGAGAACTGCTGAAAGCATTTTAGAGTTATTGTCCAAAAACTGGAAAATCCCCCCTTTTTTAATGAATAAAACCCCATAACTCAGAAATGTAAAATGTAAAATTTATAAAATTCTAAAGGGAGCTTACATCAACAGATATAAACAATTCACCAAAGTTTCATGAGAACTGCTGAAAGCATTTTTCAGTTATTGTCCGAAAACGGAAAACTGGAAAATCCCCCTTTTTTTATGAATAAAACCCTGTAACTCGGAAACGTTAAATCTAAAATTTATAAAAATCCAAAAGGGAGCTCATGTCAATAGATATAAACAATTCACCAAAATTTCTTAAAAGTTGATGAAAGCATTCTTGAGTTATTGTCGGAAAACTGGAAAATCCCCCCTTTTTTTAATGAATAAAACCCCAAAACTCGGAAAAGATCTGAAATCTATAAAAAAACGTAAGGGAGCTCACATCAATAGATATAAACTATTCCCCAAAGTTTCATGCATATTGGTCGAAGCTTTTTGAGTTAATGTCTGACATGTTGACGACGGACGGACGGACAACAGTATACCATAATACGTCCGGTAAACGGGCGTATAAAAACTGAATATATTTTTTTATTTCAAATTTTTTTCACTGTCAATAAGGAATAGCAAGGTTACAAAATTTACACATACCAATACCATTACATGTCAAAGGGTTAGAGAAGCAACATATTCCAATTCTCTTATATACGATGACTTATCATTAATTATGACATAGCACTAGATTTAACACTAGAAGCATTATAAGTTTCACTGGTGGAGCAGGAATCATTAACCCTTCTAGAGAAGCTGAGTTCACCCCTGATTTTTAATTATACTAAGAGTAATGTTTTCCTTGTGATGTTTTGTGGACAATTATTTAGTTTTCTACATAAGTCTGTTTTCTCCTTTTCAATGCCAATTGATATCTTCTCTCCAATTTCTATAATTCATCAATTTCTATTTTCTTTAGTTGTTTATTAACATTTCTTCATAATTCTTCAAATATTCAGCCCATTGAGGATTAGTTTCACTTACAGCAGAAATAAAACTATTTAAAAATGCATTTCAAAATACACAAGGTGTAATACCACCAAATCATAGTACGTCACATACGGTTGCAAATGAAAAATGGTCTAAAAATTTTCCTTGAATTTGACAATTGTAGGAAAATTATCCTACATTTCATTGCAGTAAAAAAAAATCTGAGTCATAAACATATATCTTGAGTGTTTCAAAGCACCATTATTTTTTAATTTGGTGTTTCTATAGAATATTTTGGAAACTTGAGGTTATATGGTTACTAAAGCTTGTACACAGGAAATAAACTGCTTCGCCAAGCGCAGCTGGATACGACTGCAGAGGTCCAACCCTGAACAGTTGGGGCAAAAATGGACACAATATTTAAGCTTGATACAGGTCAGAATTTGGATTGTAATTAAATATTTGACACATTATAGGTTTCTGACACAGAATAAATGTAGTCAAAGAACTTAAAATTGGTTATATGATTTGAATTTATATTCAATTGAAGATTTCTTACTTTTGTGCAATACACTGTGCTGTTGCACAATCCTTAGTAAATCTGTTTTCAGACTATATACAAAGAATTAGCAATTGTGACCCCAATTTTTCTTTGGAAAATTGACAATTTCTTAAATCTGGAAGAAAAAAAATTGACACCCCCCTTTTTCCAAACATAAATATTTGTTAATTTCTTAAATCTTGAGGATAATAAATCCCCCCCCCCCTCTTTCCAAAAAAAATATCATTTGAAGAAAATTTTCTTTATGTAAAATGTGGTACATTTTAAGAGACATCAATAAACACTTAAACACAAGTTATTGTCTGAAAACTAGAAAAATGCTTGTTTCTTTTTGGCCCCTAATTCCTGAACGGTTTGGACAATTACCCCCAAAATAAATCCCAACTTTCGACTTGTGGTATTGAACCTTGTGGTACAATTTCAGAGCAATCAATATACTTATACACAAGTTATTGTCCTAAAACTAGAAAAATGCTTGTTTTGGGCCCCTTTTTGGCCCCTAATTCCAAAATGGTTGGAACCATCACCCCCAAAAACAATCCCAAACTTTCTTTAGTGGTATTGAACCTTTTGGTAAAATTTCATGGAGATCCATACACTTAAATTTAAGTTATTGTCAGGAAACCAAATGTCTTCCGACGACAACGATGCAGACGACATGATAGCAATATACGACCCCAAAATTTTTTTTGTAGTCGTATAAAAAAGGGGTGAAAATTTGATAGGTTAACTTCCAGTGATGGTTATTTTCTTATATGCAATGAAATGTTATGTGAAATTTTGTCTATAGTACTGGACAGGATAAAAATTTACTCATGCCAAGTATTTCTTTATTTGAAACAAAGATAAATTCTGCACAATTTTTTGAAAAGTGTAAATTTAACAAAGACTAATAGGGGAAAAACAATGGTGGTATTACACCACAAATGTCAGAGAAAAAGCAAAAGAAGCTATAAGTCTTCAAATTGGTATTTTGCTATTTCTAATTCAATTATTGGCTCTTGTCCATGTTTACAAAGAAAACTAATTACCCATGACAGAATTAGATCACAGTTATAAAAGTATGTACACTAATCATAAAACAAAGGTTACACTCTTCAACAACAACTTCTATGTTGATATTTCCTTTATGTGTAATAAACCACTGATCAAGCCTATCATCTATCAAATGTATCACAAAACCCATCAACTGTACTAACAGTAAAGAGAAAAATCCAATACATGGAAAACATATTGATCAATGTTACAACTGTCTAGGGAAATACAGTAATATAATGCTTTTTACATAACTGGGACCTGACATTTCTCATTTACTAGATTTCAGACCAAATGTTTTACTTTAAGCTGAACTGAAGAACTATGTTTTTCCAAGCTATTTTTAAAATCAACTATGCATACATATTTTAATTAACTAAAAGTTAAAAGATAACATTTTTGAATATCACAAAGCTTAACACTGATCCTTCAACCACAAATAGGTTTAAATATCTAAAATTTTCTGAGAATTAAGAACCTAATGGCATTTTGCACATCTTATCCAAATAAATTTTTTGGTTAATGTATAGCAGTGTTCATCAAACAAATTTCATATAGCATCCTAGCAAACAGGGAAATATGAAATAACGTCTTGTTTCTAGAAATTATATCACAATCTTAACAAAATTCATTTTCGATTGCATCACATTTACATGATGTTAAACGGCCCTAGAGTAGATTACTACAATTATTGTATAGTTAGCATGGACTTGGCCATTACTTCAAAAAGGGTAGTTATCCTTTATCTGCTACTCCCAATGAACCCTCTTTTTTAATTTTTGATCCCAAATGACATGAAGCACATCACAAGCAAAATATGGACACTGTCACATTTATTTAAACTGGTAATAAAGTATAAATATTATTTGTGAGCTCATTTCAGTATTTCAGGTTGTTTTAGTGGTAATTTATTTCTTAATGATTCCAAGTGCCAGTCATCTCGAACTTGAAGATCCCATTAATCATGTACTGTCATTTATGTCTTTTAGTGAGCAAGCTTACATACCCTAGCCAACATAAATTGGATATTTAAAAGTCCCTCTCCCTAACAAATAAGTCCCCAATTTAAGATTTTTTCATTATCAAACTCACTCAAGGTCGTGATAAGTGGAAACCTAATCCAAATTTGAGGAGGATCTGATGAAAAATTGTTGACCCCACCCCAACAACAAGAATGTATATTCCCACCCTAAAAAAAATGCTTTCCATTTCAGATTTTTCTTATTATTGGACTCGTTCCAAGTTTGATGAATGAAAACCTTCATACACATTTGAAGATCTGATAAAAATGAAGGTACTAAATTGATGACAAGAAACAATATTGGTTACTTTTGTAAATCCACTTCCAAAATCATCCATGATTGGAAACTTTTTAAAAATGACAGACATTGCGTTACATCTGGACCAAATGATTAATGGTTTATAATCAAAATATTTAAAATGATATACAAGTAGCACCAGAGTAATTTACTACCATGTTTTGAAGAAAACTCATACTTGTGACAATAAAGTTCTGGAAAGATGGGCAGACATGTTCATATGATTGCCAATGGAAATAAAGGGCATATGTTGAATCAGATCTGTTTAGCCGTTCCAATATGGACTGCAAATGGGAACTGTCATTAAGTTTGTCCTTACCATATTAACATTCAGAGAAAGAATTTATAATATTATATAGAAATCAAGTTTACCTGTGTTTGTGGATTATAGCATTGAATGCCAAACCATCCCTCCAGCTTGTTGTGAAGTTTCTGACATTAACATTGGGATATCCTGCAGTTTTCATTTGACACCACAGTAATAAGGCATCTTTAGCTGACCTTGTCTCACTAGTATCTCCAGCATCTTCTACTGTGATGTCTTGGATCTAAAACACAATATATTCCAAAGTCAGCACAGAAAATTCATAAAGGTATGAATGACTGGATTTCATTTAAATAATTTGACCAATTGTAGACTGAAAAGGATCTGTGACTAAAAATTTATTGTTCTCTGTAAAATGCACATATAAAAATCGTATTTAAAAAATTCAGCTTTAGTTTTAACCTTGATCATATAATATATTAAACAAGCAATGAAACGCTTAAATTTGAATAAGGACTTTGGTACCCTTGTTCAATGAAAATATTTTAGAGGTATAAAATTATCATGCATCAACAAATAACATGCACTGTTCTACTAGTCAGTTATCAAGCATCTGTTCCCCACAGATTAAACTGTCTAGCTTTCATTCGAAAACTGGTGTTGACACCATTATTCTCTTTAGTTGCATGTCTATATAAGTACATACCTGGAATCTAAGAATTATGGTCCATATCAAACCTAGAGTTAATCTAGAACTTCCATCTACAATGTCATGAGCACCTAAATTTTCCAAGTGAACTTTCTGTTCATACAGAAACTGTAGTGCTTTGTCCACATTTTCTAAACAATGAATTCTCATCTTTCCCTTGGTTTGTTTTGGCTGAAAAAAGTTAAAAATTAAAAGCAAAATTCAATTTATTCCAAATTTTATCAAGAAAATGTGAATTATCTAATGAAAGTTATGTGTTAAATCTGTTAATAAAAAATATTTTATTTTACTATTGTGTGGACATTTCAACAAGGAAAGGCTCATAGTTCAATAAAAGAAAGTGAATAATCCAATGAAAGTTCTGTGCTTATTAAAAAAAAAGAAATATTTTTCTGTTGTATGGACATTTGAGCAAGGAAAAACCTTTAACTGTATCTAGTATTACATTATCTTATATCTACTGACTAGTACATAATACCAGTAGACTATAACAACTTACCAGTCTTTCTCCAGACAGTACTTCCAGCAATTTCATCAGCATCTTTCCATCTCTCAAGTCTATGTACAGATCTGCTATCCTGCAGCCTGTTCTGATCAGGTGTGAATTTACCCATTTTGTGAAAGTTTTCTTCTGTACAGATTCTCTCTCATCTAAACACAAATTGTTTTTCTTAATTTCAAATTCAAATGAAAAATGTGAAACTGTTCCTCAGTTATGTTTAAATTCACTGAAAATGGGTATAACGGAGTGAACACAAAATATCAAAGTAAGAAGTCACATTGACTGTCTAACAATTGTAGATCTAGCATGAATGACAAAGCAAATAAAATATGCCGACCCTAAAACACATTTCTTGCAGGATTGCTGAAAAATTAGAGCTCAACTAGAATCGGTGTCTAACAGAGTTCATTATTTTGAGGGCATTTCTGAAACAAAGGCATTAACCAATCATGCTTAAATGTAATTCTGATAAAATTTACATATAACTTAAAAGATATGTGGGGTAAACCTCAATGAGACATAATCTAACAACACAAACAACTTGAAAGACCTTCTTGAACACCTTGACCTAGTGTCCAATAGAGAAGAAAAAAAATCTTTAACCTCTGATGAAGAATACAGTTGATGAATAACTGTATACTTGACTTCTTGCTTACCAAAATCTGGAAGACTTGGAAAATCTGTTAACACAAGTGTACATGTACATTTACCTGATAATTGACGGATCTTGCTTATATATTCCTTTTCCTGGAACCCAGATATAATTTGACCTGACATTTGTATGTCTCCATAGAATCTTCGAACATTAACGTACTATTTACAAATTTTCAAGAGTAGTTACTTAAGATAAATCAGGGACAACTCCTAGACAGTGGGAAAAGGAAATTATTATACAAGTACTTTCCTCAAGTCATTTCCTATTACTGTAGATACACAAATAAATTTCATACGAATAAAATGTACACAGTTATGGATGTACATGTACATATATGCATGTCAATAAGTGACGTTGTCACTGACCAGTTTTGGAAGGGCATGAGAATAGACAAAATGTATTTGATCTGTTTTTAATGGTTCTGTCATTTGAAGAAGCAGTCAGGTCTACAACACAGTACATCCTGTGACATTTAGGACTTCTACATGCACAATGTAGGGGTTTCATTATCTTTTGTGTGGGCTGGTAACTTTCAAATTTGTAGACGGTACTTTCTCTTTGATAAAAATTTCTTTAATTTAGGTGCTACTTATCAAAAGTTTAGAAGGGTTTTAAGTACTGGGTACCATCTTTAAATATAAAAGTATTGACAAAGTATCTAATATATATTATATATATGTTGTGTACAAGTTGTAATGATGTATAAATTATAATTTGTACAGATTTTTTGTACAAGTTATCAGTGTTTTATGAACCGCTTAACACAAATGGATGATGCAAGCACACAGTCTTTTGTTTCGTATAATTCTGTCATATTTTCACAACTACATGATACAGTCTAATACTGAGCATTGATACAAAAAACCTTATAAGAACACAAAAAGACTTTTTATGGATATGATTTAAGTATAAGGAGAAAAATAAAAATTAGAATTTAAACAATTCAGGTGTCTTTATTTCCAGTTTGAGGACAAGGAGAATAGCACTAAATGTTAGGTTGAAGTATATAAATTTGAATTTAAAACATTAAACTGATACATTTTAAAAGATATACCTTTATCACCTGGCGCAAGAAGGTATGTGTCAAAAAACTTATAACTTGTACAAAAACCCTGTACAAATTATAATTTGTACAAACTTACATCTTGTACACAACATCTATATCATAATATGAATCACTGCACAGAGATCTTTCAACAAAGATGAAAGCAAAATGTGTTGTAATGTTAAATATTTCTCTGAACTTACATAAAGAAATGAAAAGGTTTTATTCAAAAGGTATAGAAACTAAACAAAGACTTTTTAAGATTTGCATTGATATATATATATATATATACTGTACATCAATTTAACCTTTTAATATTTCAAGAAGCAAGTATTTGCTACAAATTAAGAGTCTAAGATGTCAAATGAAAATTTTGAGAGCTTTATGTTTATTACAATATGTACATGTAATTAGTGAGAAATATGAAACCTGAAAGAGAGGCAATGGCCCATTAACTAGTTAAATTATAACATCAGGTAAATAAGTATTAAAGTTAAAATGAAAACCTTCAGTATAAAATTTTAAAATAGTTTTTTCGATGATCAATAAAAAACAAAACAAAATATTATTTTCATCCCTTCTGGAGTCAATTTATTCAAGGGAAACCTACATTTACAAAAAAAATTTTGAAATTGTAAACTAAAGTCAGACATTTCAGTACAATTTCATTAAAAAAAACTTGTTTTTGAAGGTCAAATTTTCCTTTTACAGACACAATGACATTTGACTTGCAGAAAATAAGTTGACAACACAAGCCTTTATGCATGGAGGAACACCTGTAAAGTCACCTTTGTCGATAACTATAAATACAACAGTGTAATCAGTACTACCTGTTTGTAAATGTTATCGTAAATGGTCTTTTAAATTTATGAATGAGATATTTTTTCTATGAAGACCATAATTACAGTCAATGGAGTGTACACAATATTCAATGTTAATACATATGTTATTGTTTTAAGTGCACCTATCCACTACATTCATATAATCTTTCCAAAAGTTTATTTGAAAAATTTTACATTACTTAAAAATAATTACTTGCACTTTATGTATTAAAAAAATACCACAACTCATACATAATAGCTATAGTTACAAATCTCTTGAATTACATTTATAAGTTTATCATAATTAATGGGTTACCTGCTAGAGCTTTAATTCTGGACCTCTCAAACAACTTTGCTGAATTACTTGCAGCATCAAAGTCATCCTCTATCTGGCCTGGGTCCCACCGTACACCAGTGTTATTCTGGTAGGACTCAATTTCAGTCATGCTGGTGGCTTAAGGTGCCACAACTCCCTGAAATTACAATTATATTTTTAAGACTAAATCAGATGTATTTCTTTGAAATTGTTTAGTTTATGCAACTAAATGGAGGTGTCCTACCTGCTTCACTCAAATCCTTTACAATCTCCTAACAATTGAATAAAATTTTAAATTACACTTTATGTGTCCTAAACACATCAATTTTTAAACAATTTAAAATGTCAAATATGCCAAAATATTGAATGATCAGTATATCTAGATCTTAGTCAGAACCTTTTATTCGCAGTTCAAATTAGTATGTAACTGAGACTTTGTTGTTAAATGAACCATTTAATATTATACCAAAATAATACTTTGTTGATAGAAATCACAAAATTGAAATTGAAACATATGTGTACACAAACATTTATTTACACATATGCATTTTGTTTTTGTGTAGTACAACTTTATTGAAACTTATTATCATATATGTATCTTAGAATATATATATCAAATATACCCAGCTGTAATATTACATTGATATACATGTTAAGGGATAAAAGTAAACAGTCTGCTAGTCCTGTGTTTAAGTATCTGTATTAATATAAAGGACTTCAAAATTTTTCACCAGAGTAGCTGACTATTTTAAATTTGTTCTGTTGTTGTGGCATGTACATGTATATGTTCCCAGTGCAGGATATTCCTTTGATTTACAATATAATAATAAGATTTGGTATTTTTGCCAATGAGACAGCTATCTACCAAAGGACCAGCATAAAAAACTATATGGTACCATACATATACATCCTTCAACAATGAGTAAAACCAATACTGTACAATAAGCTATAAAAGCCCCTGGTATGACAAAGTGTGAAATAATTAAAAAGAGAAAACCAACAGGCTTATTTACACTACATGTACATGTAAAATCAAATATGAGAGACAGCAACTAACGACAACCACTAAATAACAGGCTCCAGACTTGGGAAAGGCACATAAAGACAGTAACAGGGATAAACATGTTTGAGGATGCACAACTCTTCCCTCAACCCGTGACAATGGTGAAACAGCAGAATATATGATTGATTGTTAGTGTTTTAACACCACTTTCAGCACTATTGACTATATACATCATTGGTGAAGGACACATATAGCCCAGAAAGAACCACAAACCTTTGACAGGAAAACTGGTGTTGCTAGTCAATTTAGATTGAATTTAGAACGCACCTGTCATGTGCAGTTTTCACTCACAAAATCAGTGTTGATGATCCATGAACTACATGTAGTGATACAGTAGATGGAACTGATTAGACCACTCAGCCACTGTGGCCTGCCCCCCAGCAGAATATAAGAACAAACAGTTAAAATCAGTTGGAAAGGAGTCAAAGGACCCAACTCATGGTTGTACAATCAGCAACACACACATGTACGTCTATTCAATTAATTTAAAACATACATGCAAATGAAAAGGTTTCAAAATATGTAAAGTCATTTGGTATCTTAACTTGTTCAGGAGATAATTTTCAGTAATATGCAACTAAATGACTGTAGGACCATAATATAATCTTTAAATATCACAACAGTGTACCATGATGAAGTTTTTTTGTATATGTTCATGGACAGGTAAAAGTACCTGGTTATAACCATCCCATCTTGATCCTATGCAAGTGAACAAAATTTAAACAAAATCTAGGATATGATGACATATATATAGAGAGAGAGAGAGAGAGAGAGAGAGAGAGAGAGAGAGAGAGAGAGAGAGAGAGAGAGAGGCCAGAAAAAGGCAGAAATATGTGTATAATGGAAACAGGAACTTTTTTATCAAAATTTTATTCTTTATACTTTGTAGTGACACATTAATTCATTATGCAATGGTTTGGCCTTTAATCTTTAGATCAAAGTTATAGGGAGCTAATTATGAACACTACATCACAGGAAATGTCTAGTACTTCAGGAAATCTACTGATAAAGTACTAAATTAAGTAACCCATTACATGTTTGATTGTAATTCAATTTCCTCTTAAAGAAATTTCCATATTAAATATTAAATATTACATGCAAGTCCAATTTTTAAAGAAACTTGCATGAATATTCTTCATTAAATTTATACCAGATGAACAGGCAGCTCATTTCAAAATAATTTCTTGTATTATCGTTTAATAATGGATGGTTATGCAAATCTTATTAACCAAGAACAAAAAAGAAAGTCAAGCACTTGATTCTAAAAGAATTGCTTTAAGGTAGCATCTGACAAAACCAAAGCTACATCATATACATGTACATACAAATGACAACAATAGTAGCAGCGTCATGGTAAGCCTTCAGATCAACCAAAACTGACTAGTCAATGACAGTGAACTTATGGTCGAGTCAGTAACACGTTTCTTATAGAGGAGTCATTATACATGTAACAAGCCATTAAACATACATTGAAATTTAGCACCAAATTTTTGTTTTAGACTTGTAGAAAGTTTTTTGTGCAGCCTTGATTAGTTTATTATTATAAATATATGCAGACCAAAAATACTTCATCGGTTCACTTCAGGTGATGAAATTTTAAGCAATTTAATGTAGACACACATACAATGCACAATTTTACACAAAGTATTGTTCAACTTTTAGAATCACTGTATAAAAATTTGTTCAAGATTAAGATTTCTATTATTTTTGGGGATCAGTTTATTTAACAAAAAAAAAAAAACAATCGAAAAACAACTGCCACTCTCAATATTTTAATGTTAGCGTGTTGTTGTAGAGTTGGATTTAAATAAATACATGTAATACTTGATAAGCATGCTATTGTCAGTACTTATTAATTCTTATTGTTATACTATACTGTCAGATGCTGAAGAAAACAAACAACAATGATCAACTGATATTACTGTGACGTAAATTACATGTACAATGCACATGTACTATTAAAAATACCAGAGCCCCTGATACTAATCAGATTGAAAATCTGACAACTCTCTCAGTTCTATTTTTTGTTCAATGTCAGGAATTTTTGGAAACACCCAGTTTGTTATATACATACCTTAACAAAATTTGGAAGAAAAAATGCAATGGTTGACATAATAATTATCGAAACAGAAACTAGAACAGAGAAGTCAGATCTTCTCACAAGAGAAGTGTGGACACAGGTTCTGCATTTCAACCAGACTGACCTGATACATGTACAAAATGTATCAACCATCAATCCTAGCCAGCTTTTTGTGATTTTTGTTTTACTCCTTATTTTCCACTGAAATTGTCTTGTTTTCTCTTTCAGTTCTGATCATCTAAGTAAGACCCTTTTCAATAATTTTTTATCCATCTGATTTTTGGGACCTTCATTTGTAAATAATGACCTACAAACTTATGGTCCAACCTGGACTGCCAAAAAATGGAAGGCCCTTAGAATCTCCCTTATACATGTATGACCTGTAGGTACTATGTACAGTTAAAATGAAGTCTGTATATATATGTACAGGTTAAAATGTAAGTTGTTCTAAATTAGTTGAGTTGTTTCCACACACTAAGGTCTTGAATACACAATTCTCCCTTCTCTTAAATTGGAAGGCTCAGTTCTCTGGGCTAAAAGTTCACCATGACTAATTATAACTCCATTCTAACATTTTACCATGTTTACTAAGGTTACAATCTACTGTAACTGATCAGTATCTTCTCAGAGTTCAAATCATTTTCAATCATATTTTAACATGGTTTCTTATTTCAATTTGTGCAGGTCCTTCTAAAACTTTGTACAAGTAGGTAAACAAAATGCTGATTGATTTTCTAAAGTTCAACCCACAAACTTACAATAATTTAAATGGTATTTTACATTACTATTAAACAATGTTAAACGTATGTAAATTATTATAATATATGGTCAAGATTACAATAAAATAAATGAAATAAACTAATTTGGTCTAGATGCATTCAAGATATGCAAATTTGATAGTGTAGTTTCACTCACAAGTTTGATGATATATGTAGCTGATAAGATATCCAGAGTTAATGCAATCCAAAAGATAAATTTGTGCTATCCTGAAGTTCTTCAACTATCATAACACAGATGCAGATGTTGAAATAAATAAAAACATCACAACACGAAATATTTTTAGTCCTTTAGCATATGATCACTCACCAATACTAGTAACAATGACTGTTTCAAATTTATGATTAACACTTTATCTATTCAGAAGCTTTCATCCACTAAATCATTGACTGTGAGGCTGATTCAACATCTTGCATACTGTGATGCGATGGAGGTATCGGAATGCAACTTGTTGATTTCGTTAATTAAACGCAAATGCACATTTAATTACTATACGGTATAGAGATTGAATATATGGACACTATAGTTGCTCCCTGAAAAACTGATCAAATAGATCTACTATTCGGGTCAACATGTTTATCATTTTTCATCGATACATCACCGCCATGTTGAAAATTGGCACCGGTTTTCCCACTACTGCAAGTTTCATATTCAAGCTACTATGCAAAATTCATTTGACAGAAGACAATATACATTACCTGAATAATCTTTCTAAGTCCCCTTCTAGCTAAATTTAAATCCCTTTCAATATACTCAAGAGCAAGGTAAACACAACCGGCTTTTGGCTGCTGAAGATTTGCGGGAACCGACTCTGTAATTTCCGATTGAATGAAATATAGTGCGTGATCGGCGTTTGTTGTAATTTGATATTTCGATGGTTTTTTTTTAATCAACTATAAAAAATCTTTAGTTTCATTATAATCTGTGTAGAAATGCATATTTAATCAGTTTTTTTATGATGGATATTTGTGTCGAAATATTTTATGCACTTTACAGGTAAGTTTGTTTATGCGCGCATCAATATATCAAAATAGTTCGTCTGGATGATCTCATAACATTATGGGTTGTTACCGTATTTGTGGTAAAAAGAGAATATTCAATGTATTCTAACTCTTTTTCTCAAACGGGCCTTTTCTTATATCGCTGTTAAATTGACAACATTTTTAAATACATATTAATTTCTCTTTTTCCATATTGTAATTTTTCCTTTGCCAATAAAAAGTTGCATTTCAAATGCATCCGCATATTTTTTTTTTATTTATATACTGAATATAAACTGGGACTAGTATAATAGTCCAGATATAAAGACATATGAATGTGTCTCTGCTGAATACACATTTTTTAAATATTTAAATTCTGGATGCAAACAGAGACGTAGATAAGACGCGGATTTATAGTTATAAAGTATTGTATTTAAGGAGGATCAAGGAGGTGTCACTCTACTTAATTCGATTTCAGGCCGATAATCCGAGTGAAATATTTTAGGACCCCCGCAATATTCGATTCATAATATACCGAAATATTCATGACCAGAACCTCCACGTATCGATTTCCTGACTGTCCTGAAATTGAGTTGTGGAGGTCCAGGACATTTTTCTATAGTACCGTGAATAATTTTGATTAAAGCCGCGCCTTATACATAAATACCAGAGGTATATAATACTGTATGTCTCTGCGGCAAACTGTTTTATAAATTGTCTTTGGATTTGATAGCCTTGCCAAGGCGATGGAGGTTGATTGATTGTTGTCTGCTTAACGTCCAATAGCAAATATTTAATGCATGTTCAGCTGGCCCCTAAACAATGAAGACAGTGTCTTGACCTCTAGATATCTTTTGTTCATTTCTGTCGTTTAATTTGCTGTTTCATTGACATGTACCCCATGTCTATCTACGTTTGTATTAGGCCTTTTATTTAGGTTCTTTTATACACTGCTCGTTATTCCCCTTGTTGAAATAAAAAGTGGGAGGGGTGAGCTGAAAAAAAACTGAGACTACTATAATACTGTGTTATAGTAGTCCCAGCAAAAACCTAGTTAAACTCGACCACTTGTTCATGTGCATGTCCCAAGACAGGAACTTTGTTAGCGAATGCGTTTAGTGATACTAGAAAAGAGGGACGAAAGATACCAGAGAGACAGTCAAACTCATAGATCGAAAACAACTTGACAACGCCATGGCCAAAAATAAAAAGACAAACAGACAAATAATAGTACAGATGACACAACATAGAAAACTAAAGACTAAGCAACACGAACCCCACCAAAAACTGGGGGTGATCTCAGGTGCTCCGGAAGGGTAAGCAGATCCTGCTCCACATGTGGCACCCGTCGTGTTGCTTATGTTATTACAAATCCGGTAAATAGTCTAATTCGGTAAGTCACATTCGTGAAAAGGGAAGGGTATTGTAGTTACGACATAAGGAACATATCCGATATCATCTGTGAAACGGTTATTCCATAACGGTCAACCAACTCGTGATGGCGTCCGTAAAATTTACGAAGGGATGACTTCAACTTCACCATTTGGAACTCTTGGTTTAATAGTTTCCTTGTGAGCAGCAATCCTCTATCAAGGAAATCATGATAGGAAACACAAGCCCGGGAATATCGTATCAATTGGGAGATATATACTCCGTATGCAGGCGCTGCTGGAATGTTGCTACATAGAAATGGAAAGTTCACAATTGGGAAGCTGAAATCATCTCTTTTGTCGTAAAGTTTTGTTTTCAACCGACCCTCATTGTCAATTTCTAGATGTAAGTCAAGATATGAGGCAGACTTAACTGTATCTGTAGTATCCTTTATCTCTAGTTCGATGGGATAGATTCGTTCAACATAGTCACCAAATTTTGTATTATTTAGTGAGAGGACATCATCTATATAGCGGAACGTAGAGTTAAAGGATATTGCTAACTTCTTATCTCTCTTCCTAAGAAGTTCCTGTATGAAGTCAGCCTCATAATAATAAAGAAACAAGTCGGCAAGAAGAGGGGCACAATTGGTTCTCATTGGAATTCCGACAGTCTGTTGAAAAACACGTCCTCCACACGTAACAAATATGTTGTCAATCAAGAAATCAAGCATCTTGATAATGTCAGTTTCTAAGAATTTTTTGTTTGAATCAGGGTGATTCTTTACAAAGTAGGATTTATCCCTCCCCAAGACAAGATACTTGTATCTACGTTCGCCATTCTTTTTAATGAAACAAAGTAATACCAACTCTTTCAATTTGTCTTTTAGTTTGGAATGGGGAATACTTGTGTAAAGTGTAGAAAAGTCAAATGTTTCAATACTATTGCAAGATGAGAGAGTCTTAGATTGTATGTACTCTAAAAGATCTTTGGAATTTTTTAGTATCCACATCTGATTCACGCCACCTCTAGAATAGGCAGTTTCACAATAACTTTGGAGCCCGGCTTTGATTGCTGATAAAATAGATGTAAATAATTTAGAAAGAGGTTTCGTGGAGCACTTGGAAGACCCAGCAATATACCGTTGTTTGTAAGGACACTTATGTAGTTTAGGTATCCAATACAGTGATGGAAGATCCAGTTCTTCATCTTTGGTTGAACTATCTCAATGTTTTATTTTGTTCCCTTCTTAGTCATTTTTTGTTGTTGCATTTATAAATTGTCTGATTTTGGCTCACATTTCATAATCTTTATTATGTCATGGTGGTTAAGAGCATGACATAACGTATATACACCGGTTTATTGTTGTAGACTGTATCTTTGACTCTTAAATTTATTTTATTTATATGTGTCGTTTTGCTGTCTCGTTGTCGTATACTCCACATGATCTCTTATTATTCCTTCATATAACGATATGAAATTATCAAACATACCAAAAGAAAGGCTATTTATACATTAATTATATATTAGATCATGAGTTCAGAGGCGGATTCAGGCGGGGGCGTGGCGGGCGTGCGCCCCCTAAAATTTGCAAAGCATGGGTTGTCCTCAGCTTAATAAAGAATATTTCGATAATTTTACCTCAAAAAAATTTTTCGCCTCGCTCTGCTCGGCGAACATTTAAGTTTGCGCCTCATAACCTAAAATCCTGGAGTTCCCCTTAAAAACATCGCAATCAGATGAACACAGTGAATTTTTACTCTTCCAAACACATCCCAAAGTGGTGAACAAACTGAATTGATATATAGCATGATTTCTTTCCCAAACATTTCCCAATGCACTGAACACACAGGGTTATTAGAGCATGATTTCCTCTCTAAACACATCGAAATGTGGTAAACACACTGGTTAATTAGATCATGATTAAAACTTCCCAACACATCGCAATGTGGTAAACACACTGGTTTACTAGATCATGATTAAAACTTCCCAACACATCGCAATGTGGTGAACACACTGGATGATAAGATAATTATTTCACTTCCCAATGCTACATACTGAGTTACTCATTGGGAAGTCGCATGACATACAGCAATGGATTCCACTTAATCTACAGGAGCAATCCACTAGCGTTTCCAGTGAAGATATAAAGCTTTACACTTTCACCACCTTACACTTTTGTCAAACCCTAGATAAGCTTTTTCCATGCCCTTTAAGCACGATCACCATAAAGTTTTCAGCTTAGACATCTATAATATTATGATATCAGTAGATTTTCTACGTGAAAACTAACAATAGGGAAAAAAAAACCGTCTCTTGTAAGTTTTTAGCATAGAGTTACCTACATGTGAAACTGAAATATCCAAATCTAGAAAAAAACATCTACCTTTGTTTATACTTTAGTTCCTTTGAGTAGATTTCTGAAGTACAATTACAAAATTCTTTATTATATTTTAAGCCAAAATACCATCTATGTAATGATCTACGATCTTTATTGAGTTTGGTCATACACTGTGATTCGTAACAATACAGAATCAAGTCTACTATTAAAGGAGTACGGTTAGTGCATGCCCATGGGAATACCTACAAACTGTCAATAAACTTTATTGCCGAAATTGATTGATTGTTGGTTGGTTTACGTCCAATGACAAATATTTAATGGCTGTTAAGGACGAGAATAAATTAACAATAAATACAATAGATAGTTACTGAAATAGAGGACGTCCGGGATGAAGGTCGGGGGAAATTTGGACTGACACTGGAAAATGAGGGTATATTTGATAGCGGCATACATTTTTTTGCCTTGTAACAAGTCACCTACGAACCCCTCAATGTGTTGTTGCAAGGTTTCTTAACGTGCAGAGAGCGTGGCAATCTCTTCGAGAGGCATCATATTTAACTAACGTATATACCAAGATGTTATCAAAACAGTTTTGATCATCTCAAAACAGTTCCTATACGTGCATCGAACATATTTACCTTTGTCAGTACAGATGAAGGCTTCATATATGAGTTGCAGCAAATACAATTGCAATAAGATTTTATAGTCCATTTGCATAATTACTCTTTGAACATGTATATAATATATTAAATGTAAGTATGCTTTATAGACCGTTTCTTTCAGTCAAATCATGGGATTTTGTGACCATGGATAAACGGAGACCAACTTTAGCGGCATCGGTGCTAGAACAACACAAATGATCACAAATGTTTTGAAAGTACTGCATTCGAAGTGAATTAGACCATATTCATGAGA